AACATAGAGTAAATAAGGAAAGGGGAACAGGTGACCAAAAATAAGCACATTTTACTTTAATTTTAAGTTATATTATTATGCAAATCAATATAAAAATATGTTAAATAACACATAAACATATGCACACTGAAATCTAAAGTTAATTTTTTGTGATGAAAGTCCCGGCTTTTCTGAAATTCTTGTTTTTTGCAATAAAGTCCTGTAGTTTCATTTGTCTCTTTTTTTTCTTTCCTTAAGCAAATATCGGTAGCAGAAGATTGCATCCAAAATTTGCTTTTGCACTCCTTTCAAAATCTGGATCATTCACTACAATTTGATCAATGATTTCGGTTATTGTTAGCAAACTTTTACTAAGAAATATGTAGCAAGTTCTTTGGTTACTTCATTTTCAGAATCTCTGTTTTCCAGTTCCACATGGATTCCTTGTTCTGCCAGTTCTTGAAGTCATCATTGGTAAGGCTCTTAGCAGAAACCTGCAGTAACTCCCCAATATCCTGCTCGTCTACATTACATCTCCTGTATTGATTAAGTTGACAATTTGGTCAACATAGCGATACAGCAATAGGCTCTTCTTGTTGATAATTCTTGGATACCTTAAGCCATAACTTCTTCCACACTCCATTCCTGCATTTATCAGTTAATTCTTGCCAAGTGAAGTTAACATTTCCTATGGCATCCATGATGCTATATTTTTTCCAAAATTGCACAAAACAAACGTAGATTTAAGGGAAGTACAGCACTATGACGAATTGCCACCTTTTTGCTGATTGGCTCGTGTTCAGAAATAATTATATTATACACGAATCAATGAAATGCTGCGTTAAATTGAATCAGTGTTAATCGAGGCAGTGCTAAGCGGGGTCTTACTGTATTTACTTATTGATTTAAATTTTTTTAAATTAATATTAATAGTACTTTTAAATAAAAATTAAATTTATATAACTAGAGAGATTTGTATTTTATTCTATATTGTATGGTGAATTTAATGTTTTGTAATGTAATTGATATATATTGTGATTAAATGTATGTATACATCAAAGTATTATTCATAATATAAGAAAACTATATAAAATAAATATTCTTGTAAATTATTTCAACAATTGTAAAATATATTTAAAAAAAAAATGTATAAAACCTTTGAAAGTGTAGCAGTTACTTTGTTGTTCAAAAAGATTTGTAATTAAATTCATTCATAATGACTTTATTAAAATTATTTTGTATTAGTGACATCAATTATTTCTTAATTTAAAAATTATTTTAATTGCAATATATGTAATGTGTAGAAATAAAAAGTGAAAAATGAATTTTATTTAAAAATATGATAAAACATTATATAGATATGTAATGAACAAATAAAATCATGAATACTTGTTTGTTTTTATAGTAGTTTGATGTTGAAAAATTACTTTTTCAAATAATAAATTCACAAAAAAGTGATTTTTTACCAGTTGAATTTTGTTTAAGAAAGAAATTTATATTGTAAATATAGTCACTTTTTTCTTTTTTGCTTGCAGTAAAAAAAAATGTATATTAAAACAGTGTATTGAAATAGAAATATATTTTTTGCTTTTATATACAAAACAATATCTTTCTTTAACCACATTTATTTTTATTTCTTTTAAAGGTTTGATTCCATTATTTGATATCTATTGAAATTAATCTATCTTATTAAGTAGTTTTAATATAAGAAAAATGTTTTTCTTATGACTTCATGTCAGTTATGAAAAAGAAGAAACATTTTAAAAAATATAATTTATTTCTTTACCTTTCTGCATAAATTTAAGATTAGTGAAATTGTAACCATTCTAATATTAGAGGAAAAAATTTACAAATAAACACACAAAAGCTTTTCAGCTTTCTTCATTAACAGATATATAACATATGATAAGAATTAGAGTACATTAATAATTATAGAAATTACCATGTACTGTACATGAAAGTATAGTATTTGATTCAAATGCTTGAGGCTCTCTAAAATTGTCTAGTTTTATCATATCATTGTTTGGTTACTGGGTGTGCTTTATTGTGGTGATATCTACACTCAAACATATAATACTGTGCAACTTTTTAATTTCTGAATATTATTTTCTGTGTAGTTTTTTCTTTTAACATATTTGCAATTACTTTAAAAAAAATTTTTTTTGTATAAAAAGTTTTGAGAGATTTAAAGCATTGACTAAAAATTTGTTAAAAATTGAATTAATGAGTAGAATAATTTAGTCTGCATATAAATATATTATCATTTATTAACAGTATACTGTATTTGGAAAAATAAATTTAGAAATAGCTAAAAAAGAAAAAAAGATTCAGAAATTGGAACTTCAATTTTTGAATTCTAAGCATGCATGTTGTTGTAATATAAGTATTCAAATAATATAATCATCTTTTCGAGATGCATAAAATCTTTCTTAGATTTTAAAAGATAAAAAATCTTCTAAAATCTAGAATTCTTAACTGAAAATTAAATATACTCTTATTTTCTGCCAATTTATAGTATCAAATTTTAATGTGATAAAAAAAAAATTGTCTTTGATATTACAAAATAAAGATTTTATTGGTGTTGTGAATGACAGAAAATGAAGACATGTTGTAGATTTAATGTATTTATATATTTTATACTCATATCTATACTAATATTATAAAGAGGTAATGTTTGTATGTAAGTTTGGATGCAGCTACCTCCAAAACTACTCATCCGATTTCAAAAATTTTTTCACCAATATTTAGAATGGAACTTCAGGATGGACATAGGCTGTATATTATTCCGTTAAGCATGGGGGATGGACAGTTCTTTACGGTAAGCCTTCCCCGTAAGGCTTACCGTAAAGAACTCTGCTTCTATTTATACTATTTTAGATGCGGTTTTTTGCGTTTTTGATTGCATTTTAATAGAGTACGTCAACAGAATGTACACAAAGAAGGGATTTTTCGATATTCCCCCCGGGGGGAGAAGGACAGGATTAAGGCTTACTGTGAAAAACTTGGCTTCTATTATACTATTTTAGATGCGGGTTTTTGCGCTTTTGATTGCGTTTTAATAGGGTACGTCAAGAGAATGTACACTAAGAAAAAATGTTTCAAAAAATTTTCCCCCACGGGGGAAGTGTTATGCATTTATAATAGATACATTTTGAGCCACAACAAGGCGTGGCGGGGTCTGCTAGTTTGAACATAAAGATATTAATTATATTAAAATGATTGGTATGGTTAAATTGTATAATCTTTTAGTCTGAATTTTTTTTATAGTCATGAAGAAATTTATTAGCATAAGTTAAAATTAATCAAAAAACAAAATTTATATAATCACAAACACACACATATCATATTTACTCAATTAGACCCACAGGTTTAAATTACCTCATTATGGGTTACTGTAAACAATCTGTTCAAAATTATAATTGAGTATTGCATCATGTTTTTGTTGTCTGTGTTACTTTTTAGAATTATTTTTGATTTAACAAGTCTTGTGGCCACTCACATAAACACATATAAAAATTAATTTTGAAAAAAAAAAGACATGCCAAGTCGATTTTTAAAAAAATTGACCCACAGTGGATATATTTGAGTGCATATGGTATATAATCCAATAAATTGTCTTTTAACATTCTGTATTTTGTGTAATCTGCACCAAATATTTCAATATTAATTTTTATATTTATTTATATATTCTTTGCTAGGGTATAAATTGCAGTTGATTAAATAGTGTTTGAGTATTGTCTTTATTCTGAGAATAAGAGCAAATGGAATGTTCTTGATTAATGTAATATTGACTAACTGTTAATGTTTCAAGTAAATTATAAAATTTAGAATAATCTAGTTTTTACAATTTATGACATCGTAAACATTGTTAAAAGTATTATTGCTTTTTATGTTATACACAAAATACATACAAAAAGAATAATAACTACAATCTATTTTAGAATAACTTACTAAATCAAAAGTTTAGAATTACAAATTCATTTTCTAGATTTCACAAGTATAAAATCTATTTTGTATTTTTTTTTTTTTTTACATTTCAGAATATATATAGTATAAATATTATAAATTTATAGTGATCCTATTAAGAGTTTTGGAAGTTAAGAAATTTGCAAGAAGTTACAGAAAATAAACATTTTTGATGTTTTCAAAAATCTCTTGGATTACAGTTTTTGTGCTATTGTTTGGCTGCAATTTGAAAAATTGTAAACCTATAAATTCCTAGTCGTCCATCCATCTGTCTTTTTTTAATCTTGAGAATGGAGTTAGATATATGAAAGATGAGACCAGATATGGAAAATGAAGGCCTCCGTTAACTACAAATGAACTTCCAATACAAACTGAAAGTCACATTATTTCTATTCAAAACTTCCTCTGAAAGCAGAAAGATGACTGACATGACTCTATTGTTAAAGGAAAAGTATGATGTACAGGGGCAAGCCAGTACTAATTTAAGATGGAGAGCATATATTTTAAATTAAATTGAAAATTATGATTAAAAATTGCAGCCCATCATTGTGATGATGTCACAATAAATAATTGTTTATTCTATTTAATATGCAATCTTTTTGGATATTTATTTTAATTTTATATAGTTTTATTTTATCTAGTTATAACATTTTCTATAAATTAGAAATCATTTTATGTATTGAATTTTTTTAAAATAAAAATGAATGAATGGTGGCATAAATTTGAATAATTAACAGACTATATAAGATTTATTTATGGATAATTGAATTTCTTTGAAATAATGCATATTTTTTTCTCCCTTATAATAAATATTTATTATTTGTATTCTGTAATCAGTATGTATGCATGTGTTAGGAAACAAAATTTTTCTTTTGAGAATATCTTATCACTTGTTTGAATGAAAAGATATATTTTGCATAATAAATAAATAAATACATTACAAAAAACAATTATTAATAAATCAAAATGAATAAAATGCATAATAATATAAATAATTTAAATTTATATTAATGTTTAAAAAATAAATTCAAAAAATATAAAATTTTTGTTGATAGCTAAAATAAGGCAGTTGTCATGCCTGAAGAAAACGAACAAGAAATAGCATTACAATCTTGTGACACTTTTGTTGTTCTTCCTCCTTCGTCTTCAAAGGGATGTATTATTTTTGGAAAAAATTCGGATCGACCAGCTGAAGAGGTGCAGGAAATTATTTATGTGAATGCCAAAGACCATGAAGCTGGAGCTAAAGTGCAGGTATGCAGGTTTGAAATAATGTTTTGCACATTAAATTATCATCTCTTACAAAACTGAGCATTAAACATTTTTTTAGTGTACTTACATTGAAATTGATCAAGTAGATCATACTTATGCTGTTATCCTAAGTAAACCAGCATGGATGTGGGGAGCGGAAATGGGTGCTAATGAACACGGAGTTTGCATTGGTAATGAAGCTGTTTATACCAAATTGAATGGACCTGATGATGAAAATGAGAAACTGTTAGGAATGGATTTAGTTAGGTAACTTTACATTTTCTGTATTGTTATTTTTGATTTAAATTGTTGATTATCTTCAAGTAAATTTTAATATTCTTAGGCTAGGACTTGAAAGAGCATCAACTTCTCGTCAAGCAGTCAAGATTATTGGAGCACTTCTTGAACAGCACGGTCAGGGTGGACGTTGTTCAGACACAAACCCTAGTTTAATCTACCATAATAGTTTCTTAATTGCTGATCGAAAAGAAGCATGGGTGCTAGAAACAGCTGGCAGTCTTTGGGCAGCTGAATGTATAGTTGGTAAATAGGATTTATTTGAATCTTTCTTTTTAATAAAATAAAAATATGTATTTGATAAACATGCATTAACTTTTAACAGATGGTATCAGAAATATATCAAACTGTTTATCAATTGGTACCAAAATAGATCTAATGTGTGATAATTTAAAGGAACAAGCTCAAGCAAAAGGACTTTGGGATCCAAGTAAGGGAGATTTAGATTTTGCTAAAGTATTTGGCGAGAATAATGAAAATGCAAGACATCGGTATAATTGTGGAAAAGAATTATTGCTGAAACTGTCTGCCTCAGGTAACTGTTACTTGTATTTTATAATGTATATTAAAGTTAAATAAAATTTATAAGAAAACAAAAGATGTTAATTCAACTACATAAACAACTATGATGGCATTTATGCTAAACAAAACATTATTATTCATAATAAAAACTTTTGCTGACAATAATTTCTGTTAATTGAAAGCAATCTCTTATTTACAAAACAGTGTGGAAAATTTTCATTATTTCATATGCATATTTATTATCAAATTTGTTTTATTAGAGAGAGAAATGATACTACTAAAAGTGAAATGGTCAATAAACCATGTATCTTTTAACTTTTTGAAATGTAAAGTTGAATGATGATTAACACTTTTTTGAAAAGGATACAAGCATTTTAGTGTAACAACTAATATGTAAAAGAATATAAATTTATATATGAAAATACATTCATATACCATTTATTTCAAGATGACATTAATTAATTAATTAAATATGATTATTTTTAATATGATATTCATATTGATAAATTCATGTATTTTCTTTTTCATTTTAGAAAAACAGATATTTAAGCTGTTTTATTTAAACAAATGGTTATTATTTTATATAAATACAAATAATAATAATCAACATATTGTGAATTTTTTTTAAGATTATAATCATGTCATCAATGTAATAGAATGCATTATCATTTAAGATATTCTTCAATCAGTATATGGACTGTTTATTTTGAAAGTGTAAGTTCAGTTTTAGAAAAAATTGAGAAGTCACATAATTTATGTATAATTTAGTGTGAACTTTTTATTTATAAACAATTCACACTTAGTATTTTAAAAATAACCACATACTTTGATCAATTAAAAATTTGTCAGTAAATGACATTGCATAACCATTGATTATAAAAGTGGTGTAAGTCCATTTTTCGCAATCTAATTAACCACTTATAGGCATCCATAAATTGTCTGCATTTTTCTTGAAATTTTTACTACCCCCCTCTTGTCCCAGTTTGTCCAAGTTTCTGTAACCTTTTCCTTCTCCAGATGTCCAGCATAACTCAACTCCTGTTAAAACCTTCATCACTTTATGAATGATAGATGTCATAAGTAGTAATGAAACATACAAGAAACTTTGTAATAAATATGATAAAATGCATAAAGTATATAAAATGAAATAAATGAATGTCCACCAAAACTCAGCCCCCCTTGTCTGACTTGTCTTAACATCCTTCCTCCTTTCCAGTGTGGACATAAATTATGGACAGCCCCTTATAAGAAAGGAGTAAAACTATGAATTTTACCAACAAAAGCACAGTTTGATGGAATGAAAAAATCCACATAAGAAGCCTAAATGAAAAGCAGTGTCTAATGATAAGGTCATAATAATGATAAACTTATAAAATAGTTTAACAATAAGTAAATATTTTTAATGATGAGAATAAACAACACTATTTTATTTCTTGTTATTATTTATAAACAAAATCAGAATAAAACAATGTGTTTCAAGTGAAATTGAATTTTACATAATTGAAATTTAATGATTTTTATAGTTCAGTAATTATGAAAGTGGTGCAAGTCTATTTATGACCTAGAAAGAATATATTGGCTTAGTTAAATTCACATAGAAGTCTTTATGTAATCAACTTACATATTTATAAAGTAATAGAAACATTGCCAAACTTAGTATGCTTTATTTATATTTTTGAATCAATTAAAATGTAAATCTTTAAATATTTCAAAAGAAGAAAAAATGGACTTACACCACTTTCAAAACACTTAAACAGTACATATTACAGTTATATCCATGAAATTTTTAATTTTTCTGTTTATAATTTACTTATTTTTCATATTTCTTGAATTATATTAAATATGTCAAGGAATAATTTAATTTTTATTATTTATTTGTTAATTTATATTTAAATACTTTAGATTCTTCTTTTTCTCTTCTCAATCTATTTGACTTCAACAGGTAAGTAATATCTGTTGAATCACAGTTGTTGAAATTAGGTCCTATACATGTACCCATAGGGATGCCATCTTTTTGTTTATACCAATAGTCATTGTCTAAGACTAGCATTATTAATTCATTTAACCATTTTGGATTTTTAATAGTGTTGTAACGAATAGTATATTCGGCCTCAGGCCGAATACCGAATATTCGGCCAGGAGCGTGGCCGAATAGCCGAATATTCGGCCAAACTATTCGGCTCGATTAATGCACGTACGAAAATTGGCGCGCAAACCGCATTATGGCAAGGATCCTGCTCTCTATTGGCCCGCTGTCACTACGCTTCGCCAATCGCGTTAATTCTTGGCAGTTGTAGCCGACAGACAAGTGTCATGGAAGTATGTGATAAATTATGATATCAAATGACCTACACTTGTAAATAACGGAAAAAAGAACAGAAAAGGACCGCGAAGTGAAAATGTGAAAATAAATAAGAAATTGAGTTGATAACATAATCAAACGAGTCGAGGCAGCTTATTGGCGCGAAATTCATGGCCGTCAATGCCAAACAATTGTTGTCATAGACTTCGGAAAGCTAAATGCTTGTAATGAAAGTCACTTAGCATGCACAGGCGAAAGCCTGGGGCCGTTCAGGCTATCAAGCTGTCTCGAATCTGTGAAATCATAACTGTGACTTATATCGACGTCCTATCTATCTCTTTTCCCCGTTATCACCAGGCTGAGTCACGTAATTGTAAAATGGAAACTCTATGACGGAAAAGTGACGAATCGAAAGTATCGTGAGCACTTATTATGATGTATGCACAGGCATACGTGGATTAGAGTGATAGAGGAAAGAGAAAAAGAAGAGCAAAGACGAGTGCTTAAAAAGGATAGGCAGGGTCAGACCCTCAGATGTGCGAGAATTCTTCAATGATAGACGTGTACCTGTGCTGATCTTTGTAATTATAAATTGTGAATACATGTGACTAATATTATTTTCTTTTTTATTTTGTGCATGTTATAAGTTATAAATACATATAAACAAACAACACTAACTCGATAACATTAAATCTAAATAACAAAATGATTAATTTACTGTGTTTTTGTTATTTATTACTCCTGCGTTTAGGTATTCGGTATTCGGCCAAATAGTGATTAAATATTCGGTATTCGGCCGAATACCGAATAGTAACCGAATATTCGTTACATCACTAATTTTTAATGTTTCCTAATTTTTGTTTTATTTTTACTGATGGATGGATACATATTCTTGACCTCTAGTGATGGTAGTCTAGTGTTTGCATTGATTTTCTTTATCTTTTCCAGGAAATCATCAGTATTTGGTATGCTATTGTATGATACATCAAATTATTTTAGTTCTTAATAAATAATTCTAAGTTGTAAATGAGTAGTAGTTTTTAATATTGATCAGTAGTCTGTAGCTTACTGGGTTTTTTGTTTTTTTATTCTAAAGGAATATTTTGGTGTTCTATTATTCAATTTTAAAATGTTTTTTGTTTTGTCTTCATATACAGTGGGTGATCGGTTAATGAACAGATCGGATAACAAACACTTTCACAAAAGATTTTTATGATTGGACAACGAACACATGTTTGGATAAGAATACTTCCCTGAACAAACACAAGAAGAAGCGATGTAAAATAACGAATACCGGATTTTTTTTTTTTTTTTTTTGTTTTCGGGCAACAATCCGAAACTTTTTGGAGCGTGGGAGACTTCGACATTGACATCGACGTTCAACCCAGTATATACTGATCAGGTAGTATTCCCTCGAACTTTGAAACTCTCCGTTGTAATTCCAGCATTTTATATTTCTGACAGAAACAATTCTTTTACGTTTTCCTCTGAAAAAAGCAGATTTATACCGATATCTGCTATTAAAGATCTTTTGAAGAAGTGGGAGGATGTCAGAACAATGGTCTTAAAATGGCATCCAAACTAGGTTGCGGTTAATAGGCCTGTAGATCTCTACAATTACAATGGTATTAATTACTTCTGAAAAATCATGAAGAAGACAGAAAAGCAACCGGCACTGGACAGATTCTTTAACTCCCACAAACGGAAAAAACACGACTAATAAAAATGCAAGACCGTGTATATATGTATTTTTATTATTACATGTGAATAAACATAGTAAGAAAGTATATATATATTTTTTGGGGGGTCTCCAGAGCGAATTAATCAAATTCCCATAACCGATTATCTATTTACCATAGGTTTTTTACGAACAATTCGGATAATGAACAAAGTCTTGGAACAGATTATGTTCGTTCACTGATCACCCACTGTATTTTGTTTTGGATCTTTAGATCTATAACAACTTTTTTAAAGCTTTGAATTATGCTGTGTGTCAGATCTGTTAGTAATTCAAGATAATTATTTTGATTTATTAATTCATGTATTATTTCATCATAACTGTTTTTCCATTATAATGAACTGTTTGGTTTTATCAGCCTTAACTATTGTTTAAACAATTTTTAAATGAAAATAAGTTGTCATTGTAACATCATCATATTTAATTATGCTTTGCTTAATTTAGGGTTAATAAAAATTTTTTTTGAATTTTTTAAAAAGATTGTCCTTTTTCACTTTAAGTTTTTGATCTTGTGAGACTTGAGTGTTCTGCACATTTTCCATGTTAACGATTAAATTGGTCCTGTTTACATTCCCCAGTCCATTAAATTCTGTGACTGTACAGTGTGATAAACCCACCTACAGGAAAAGTGCACTAGCATGAAACATAACGAAAAAAGTGCCTGGATGTTTATAGATTTTTTTTTTTGAACAATGACTGTTCAGTTAGAAATTTTCTTGCTTATTCTTTTTAATAAGGATTTATCTGTAACCTAATCAATGATTTCCTTGTGCTAATTAGGGATTACTTTTTAAGATTACTGAAATTACAAAAATTTAATACAAAACAGAAACAACATATATTTTTAATAATTAATTTTAAAAAATTTTTATTTCAACATAAATGAATTTCTGTAATTCCAAAACATTTTTATATTTTCTTCTTTTTTTGAACAGAACACTTATCGGTATACCATTATGAAACCTTTCAATAATTTTTTCACAATATTTAAAAATGTTTATTCTTTATTAAAGAATACTATTAATATGATGTAGTCCATTTTAGAAATTGATAAATTTATTAATTCTTTTATATAAGTAACTTCTAATGTGATTATTAAGTGGCTGTCTTACATGATTTTGTAATTATTATGAAATTTAATATACAACTTAAATATTTCAAATTTTATTTAGGTGAATTTGATACTTTGGCTATGTTCAAAGTTCTCAGGGATTCAGAAAGTGGCATTTGTAGAGGAAAAGATCATGAACGTCCTACGGCTTCCAGTCAGGTATAACAGCATAATTTTTATTATAAATTTTGTTTTTTAAAGTTGATATATAGTAACTATAACTTAACATTTTCTGTTTTTGGTAAAATTTTTTTTTTTCATTTGTTCATTGAAGTGTTATGAACAGAAAATTTCAAAACTGAATTTCATTTTCTTCATATTGCATATATAATTGCATATCAAATAATTTTAAAAATCTTTTATAAAAAAAATAGTAGATAGTTTGTATGCAGGGATGTATAAGTAGTTTCAGATATACAAAAGAATGTTTATTTATATGATATTTTATTAGAAAACAATAGCAAAAATATTTAATAATGTAAATTTATGTAAAAGAAATTTTTTCATATTTTTAATCATGTAATATGAATTAACAATCAAAATATGAAAGATGTTTTTATGAGAGTACTAATTGTTTAATAGTTTTTTTTATGCATTTCCAAAACAGAAAAGGAATTGAGAAGTATTAATGAAACAAAATATATTGAGCTATTCAAATAATCAATTGAAGGAAATTTCAAATTTGCCATACAATAGAAAAAGTTATATTTCTTGAGACTACACATACAAGATGAGTCAATTTCTTTCGGTCCCTTCACATGCTGTTGAGGTAATAACAATTCCACGGCGGAGTCAACCTTTTATTGTAGGCTACTCATCTTCCATCCAATGCAAAAAAGTTAAAATTGTGGCACAATGATACTTTTTAAAAAGGTATTTATTAATTTTATCATTGTTCCACCACTAGAGGACTATTTTAACTTTTTTGGATTGGATGGTGGATGAGTACTCTACAATAAAAGGTCGACTCCGCCATGGAATTGTTATTACCTCAACAGTGTGTGAAGGGACCAAAAGAAATTGACTCATCTTGTATATGGTAGTCTCAAGAAATATAATTTTTTCTGTTAAAGTAAATTTGTCCCGGCAATTTTTTAAAATGAAATTTCCTTTGTTCGTAAAATACTGTTTCAAAATTTCTGAGTGTATTTTTTAAATAAACCGTGAAAGTTCTATTTAATTTTTAACTCAATTCAAAAGATTTTTTTACTTTTCCCACCAAATTAACAAAATATTCTCTTTGCTATCAAACAATATAAAACATTTTTTATTTGGTTCATTTAACTGCATTTCAAACATACAATATTAGCAAATTAATTTTGAAAATGTAGAAAATCAAAATTGTAAATAGATGTGTTAGTATTTGGTTTGCTTTTACATCTGCATGATAATCAATATTTTATAAACATTTAACAAACTGTGTTTAGGGTTTAACATGATAAATATGAAGTATCATATCAAAAAGACAATCATGTCAGCATTGTTATTCAGAAACTAAATCCATTAATTCATCATAATATAGTTTAATTTTCTAGGTACGTACATAATTTAACTTATAAAACAAAATTTTATTATAAAGAAAAGAAAGGTGATCAAAATAAACTTGGATTACTACTGATATATTTGAGGATCTATAATTGTTTTTCAAATTTATAGGTATCAGTACTGTCATCTTTAGATTCTTCAAGGCCCTGTTGTCACTGGTTCACTGGAACTCCAGACACACGTCACTCTGTATTTAAGCCTTTTGTATTTTGTTCGAATGCTCGGATTTCTCCTCACATCATATCTCCTGTCTTCCCCAGTGACGAGGATCCAGCAAAAGTTAGTATCATTCATTATTAACATTTTTACCATTTTATATTATTAATTCTAAATTTTTTTTAATAGGTTAAACCAAGATTCCAAAAAACTGTGGATCGCAGGCACAATTTATACAAGTATCACGAGAAAGCTTACTCTCTTATGACCAGCGACAGTCCCAAAGGGAAAGAATTGAAAAATACTATGCTTCGACTGGAAGCAAGCTGCATTGAGGAAATGGAACAGTTCCTAGATGGATATTCGGTAGAAAACTCTAAGGATGCAGAAGACTTATTTAAAGATCTGGTGGAATCCGAAATGAAATTTTACAAATAATATGATTTGTATCGTATTGTAACTTATCTGCTCATTTGCCTTGCACTTGGCTGATGCCGTTATTCGACTAGATATATATCGTTTAAAGAACAAAAGTGTTCTTTTTTTTCTAACTCGGAGTAATTACTCCACGACAATATTTAAAATGTGATGTCTTCTTCTTTATTTCCACTCGAATGTCATTTGCAGGACCAAAGATGTTTGTTGTTAGCATTTGTAGATTGAATGTAGTAGCTAACAGCATAAAATTTTTTTACTTTGCATATGCAAAAACTGGTCTGTTGTATATTATGTCTTTAAATTGTAAAAAGTTGGTAGAAAATTTTATTTATGACCCTAATGATTAAGATAATTTGATGCTGTGATTGATTTTAAAATTGTGATATTTTTTTATTATAATTTATTTAATGCTTTTATGTCAACAATTCAAATATTGATAGTTGTAACATGATTTTTAAGGGATTTATTTATGTTGCATTGAGGTCTAATTTTGTTGCTTAATGTCTAGTCGTGGTTTGACCGCATCTGTACTGTTGTTTTAGTCATTCGAACAGAACATCGGACGTAAACCCATGCATTGTAACTGAGCTAATTTTAGATTTAGGCCATACCAAAAATATGCCTGGATGTAAAACATTTGCCGTTACGTAATTATCTTCCGAATTGAGGTTTGCTATATTTGTAAATTCTTTTTCTCCCATTAGATCGTTCATATTGACGTACATAATCTTGTGATCGTTAACAAGCTACATAGTGGCTGTATGTATTTTAAGAATGTGTATAAGAAAAAAAATCTATTTGTTTACTTCAAAGTACAGCAAGATATGCTGTAACTTGTTTTGATTTTCACATCTATAAATGAATTTTGCAGTATTAATAGGTATTGATTGATTACAATGTTTCTTTTTTATAGATACCAAAATGTGCTTGTGAAATTTGTGGTTAATAAAAGCACTGATGCAATTGATTTAATTCTCTTTTTGTAGAATTCTATAAACACACACCCAATATTTACTAAATATGGATAACTTCATACAATAAAATCTTGTACGACAACCTTCAGGATATAGTTTCTGGCCACTTCAGTGGGATTATAAAATTGACACAGTTCCATTCTGAATCTTGCTAAAAGGTTAATACAATTATAAATTCCCTTTCACACAGAGTAATGCATCAACATTGAATTAATAGTATTGAAGTCTATTGCAAACAGCTTACAAGAGTACATGTACTATACAAGTGAATGCATTTCAAGTATTTAGTATCCATAATAATATACTGGACAATACAACAATTGTTCACACAATTTTTTTCTGAATTCTTCTGTTAAAATAGTGTTTAAATATTTTACTATCATTTCTGTCTATGGGTTTTAGTAGCCAGACTGAATCAATGTTTATGAAATGGTAGTAAAAGGTATAGTCTGGAACACAAGAAATAAATAGTGGTCTCTTTTGGGCAGACTGTCTTTAATTTTATTAATAATAATAATCTCCATTGGATGAAATTTACAAAAGTAAAAGGTTTTACTTGAATGCTGAGATCCCCAATACATGACAAACTGTTCCAAACCATAGCAACAAAGTTCTTTTAAAATGCTTTAGATAATAGTTTGAGTTTAGGAATTAAGTTTTCCTGATTTATCTTTATTGCAAAAAATGTCACTTTAGGACATTTACCTGGCCAACAGTTGCCTATGTTGTCACTTTAGTGGCTACCAAGATGGAGTTTGATTTATCTTAAAACTTATGTGGCCACCCCTGAAATTCCCCTGTAAAAATTATAACTGAAGTAGTCATAAAGTGACCACTTCAGTAGGTATTTCATAAATTTTTGAGGGAAAAAATGTATTATGTCAAATATCTTCAGTTACTGACATGGCATCTGCCAAATGTTACAGTTCCTAGTTTAATCTATAATTTTATTTTATGCAAGAGTGAATAGTTTTTCACTTCACTTCATTTCTTAACTGAACATTGAAGAATTTATTAATTATAATACAATAAAACCCCACTTAGCGCTGATTCAATATAATGCGGTCTGCTTGATGCCTAAAAAAACGCTCAAAATTTACGCTGATTCAAATTAACACAGTATTTCATTGATTCATATATATGATTATTCCCAAACACGAACCAATCAGCAAAAGGTGGAAATTTGTCATAGCGCTGTACTTTCCTTAAATTTATGTTTGTTTTGTGCAATTTTGGAAAAAATATAACATCATGGATGCCATAGGAAATGTTAACTTCACTTGGCAAGAATTAACTGATAAATGCAGGAACGAAGTGTGGAAGAAGTTATGGCTGAAGGTATCCAAGAATTATCAACGAGAAGAGCCTATCGCTGTATCACTATGTTGACCAAATTGTCAACTTTTAATTAATCAATACAGGAGATGTAATGTAGACGAGCAGGATATTCGGGAGTTACTGCAGGTTTCTGCTAAGAGCCTTACCAATGATGACTTCAAGAACTGGCAGAACAAGGAATCCATGTGGAACTGGAAAACAGATTCTGAAAATGAAGTAACCAAAGAACTTGCTACATATTTCTTAGTAAAAGTTTGGTAACAATAACCGAAATCATTGATCAAATTGTAGTGAATGATCCAGATTTTGAAAGGAGTGCAAAAGCAAACTTTGGATGCAATCTTCTGCTACCGACATTTGCTTAAGGAAAGGAAAAAAAGAGACAAATGAAACTACATGACTTTATTGCAAAAAAACAAGAATTTCAGAAAAATCGGGACTTTCATCACAAAAAATTAACTTTAGATTTCAGTGTGCATATGTTTGTGTGTTATTTAACATATTTTTATATTGATTTGCATAATAATATAACTTAAAATTAAAGTAAAATTTGCTTATTTTTGGTCACCTGTTCCTCTTTCCTTATTTACTCTATGTTAAAATGACCTTGTTTAATGCTGTTTCGCTTAGTGCTTTGTTGTCTAGGAATGCATCCCCTGCGTTAAGTGGGGTATTACTGTATTAGGATAACAGACTGATTAAGTGCTTGAAATTTTTTTCCTGACAAATCTTAGATGTCACATAAGGTTCTAGTAAAAATCCTGACAATAAACCCCAATTTTAAAGGTCAGTAGATTAAATATGATTGCTAATGTCACCCAAACCAAATTTTTGGAATAAAAGTCTTATTTTGTGCTAACAAAAGTACATTTTTGTCATTATGAAATTTCTGACAGAATACACATTTTTAATTCCAACTTTTCATATTCAATTTGATTTTTTTTATAAGCTTAAATTTCAGGAATAATGACGATAATAATAATGCTAATGATATGGTAAAATAATAATTATGTTACACCAAAAAAGAAATAAATATATAAATAAAATTCTTCCACTGCCTAGTGTCTTGTCTATGAGCTATCACTGTTTCTAGGAAATATGAAACTAACAAGCCTTATAGGCTAAACACTCAAGCATTTTCAAAAATCGGGCCACTGAAAATTGAGAGTTGGTCATATTATTTGGATAAGGAGCTGTTTATGTTCACGGCTACACACTTTACACACTCACCAAGTTTTGTTCAAATCAGAGACTCGAACATCTAACCCTCTCCTTGTAAGTCAGAACATTATTGGAAAATTCAAGAGAATGGTCTGCAATAACATTATCAAGAAGATTCCAACTTTGCAATTGTCAGACTAACAGAAAAAATTGTCAGAAATTCAGACAATTCCTCAAAATTACTATCTCAAGAAATCACACCAGTCAGGGTATTTCAAAGATTCCTATATTGGAAGACCATAATATCATGGATAATAGCAGACAAATTATGACATTGAAATGTTGAATAAGTATCACCGGTTCAAAGATGAATTACCAAAAACAGACAATTCAGTGGAAGGGATGACACAAGTTTTCAGTCCACCATTTGGAAATTTATTGGATTTCTTCAGAGAACAAGTGTCACAAGTTTCCTGTAATCAAATTCTGGCTAGTCATCTGCACACAAGTTTCAAGAAAAAATATGCTGATTCAAATGCATAGATTCTTACCATTGTTTATAACTGATCCGTGATTGCAGCATTATGGACTATCTACATGGCAGAGCACACAATCTTTAACTAATAATATGTAAATAATATTAAATTGCAATTTTTTCTTCAGGGATTTCAATATTTCAACTATAAATTACTGTAATTGATAATAAGCATGTTTCAGAGAAAAACAAACTAACTTTTAATATTATTTAAAAATTTACATCAGCATTTTGTTGTGTTAAATATTTTTCAAAGAAACTTGTAGTTTTGGAAGGAGCTTTTATTTTTACATAGAGGAGTTATTGTCAGGTTTTTATTCAGGGGGGCTATTGTCCTGTTATGTCCACATAGTAATAGAATATCTCTATTACATAATTATTATTATTTTTTTATCATAAGAAAATTTATATACACATATATATTGTATATAATAAATCTGTTAATTTTCAAAATTCTGAAACCTACATTAATTAATGGAAAATTTAAGTAGAATTCAAATGCAAAAAAGCTGTCAAATGTATTTTGTTTCATGAATCTTGGCTAGGCAATGCATGGTACTTAAAACAGGCTCTAGTCTTTTCTTTGGCAACTTTGGGACAATACAAATTTTAATTGTCGTAAAACTTTATTTTTATAATAATATTCTTGTATTTTTTGATCACTTTGTATTAAAAATTCCATGCTATTTAGTTTTTGATAATCTGAAACACTCTAGGCTCAAATTACATTGTAATAGCATTTACAAATCTGTATGCATTATGTCTAGTTCTAGTTGCAACATGCTAAATGATACAAATAGATGACAGTTAATAAATTTTTCTATAATCTCATCATTTGTTAGACATTTTGTCATTAATTTTTATTTTGAAATTATTACATTTGCTAGATTTATATGAAAATAGAAATATTTACAATGAAATATAAAAGTTCAATATACACTTAACTTGAAAATACACAACTATTCTCAAAGTACATATCAAATTTTATGTTTAAAATGACACATAAAATTTTTTGAAAAACATTATTTGCAATCTTTCAGTAGATTTGATCATGTCTTGTGCATTTCCACTAAACCCAGGTATTATACTATAGTAGGATTTCATGTAGTAAATATCAATCACTATCTATTTCTCATTTTATAGATTTGCACTATCTGTAACATAAACGTTAACTTATTTGATGATAATATTTGATAAAATATCATCATCAAAACAAAGTAATGTTTGATTAATTCAAAAACAAGCTTTAAATTATTTTTTTGCATTGCAGTTTTTGCAATGCAATGCATTTGTTAATCATCAATCTGAATAATCAGATAATTTTGTCTTCAATATCATTACATTTAGTAAAATATGACACACTAATTATTTTACTAATAATAGTTAAATATTCTTGTAAATACAGGTATACCTCGCCTTACATCGGTAATTGGTTCCAGGAGAGGCGACTTAAGTTGAATTTACTTGTCACTAGGCTAAACCACAAATAACCATTCCCAGTTTTGTATTTTATTTATAAATAAATTTTTAATAATATATGGTTAATAAGAATCTATTTTAAGCTTACAAACAAATAAATTTTAGTTTTTAATATAGTACAGAAAAAAGTAATCTAAATTTACGAATTCATGTACTGTACATACAGTACATACTTGTAAATGTTCATGTTTACAATTTGGTGATGTTTACAGTACATTGCAGACTCTTTATTTGTGAACATGGTTTGCTCTAAGACATTATAAAATAAGATGATTTTGTAAGGTTAAATAACAAATACAGTTATTAAAATTATCTTGCGACAGTATAAAATAAACTAACTTATATTAAATTTACCAATATCAAGTGGCGCTGACAACGCCGCCAAACAGTAGATATTGGAGCTACCATGGAAAACACCAATATTGAGCACTTAAAGACAGCTAAATAAAACGACAACATAGAAACACAAATGTTTTCATGTTTCGTTCTCTAGGATTTATGATGATTATATTAACATTTACTGTAAATGTATATATTTTAATATGATTTTATGTGCTTTAACGCTTTTCTAGTGATATTACGACTTCAATATTTGTGGCGGACAGATGTAAAGTTGAATAAAATGGCTTAAACTTTATTTTTATTTTTCCATATATTTTTTGACAAACAATGTAGGATCGAGAATGAAGTAACTTGAGGTATACCTGTAATTTTAAATTATTTATAAAGCTACTGAAGTTAATTGTTTGAATAGAAAATTATAGATTTTACTTTTGTAATCTTGCAAGCATATATCAAAAAATTACAAATAAATATAACAGGACTAAATTGTAATTTGTGAAAATTGTAACAAGATGACCTTGTTATTGTTATTGTGAAAGTAGGAGCAGTAAACTAAATGCACCTCAGTTTAAAAAGTTCATTGTGTACCCCACGAGAGATACACAATAAACCTTTCAGAAGTCTAATCTCTTTAAATAAAAAAAGACAGTAGACCTCTAAAGGAAGGCTGATGAATGTTACAGGGCTCAACAAAGTAGAACCCAGATGAACAAGTATACTTGAGCAAAGTTCTGCACACTCACAAATGAGATGCAGAGGAGATTGCTTAATAGATCTAAAAAAGCAACATAGGGATGAGGAGAAACATTTCAATTAGTACATATGTTTATAAAGGTGACCAAAGCCAGTTAAATCTTCATAAAAAAACAAACAATTCCTGTCAAAAGCCACAAAATCCTTAGTTTGCCCAGAGAGCAGACTAAGCAAAAAAGCCTTGCTCTGCTTTAAACAAAAAGTTAATCTCCACTGTTTAGAATGATTGAAGGTAGTTCTTTAACAGCTGCAAAAAAAGTAGAGGAAAGGATTGTAATATGAAGCCTTTCAGTATTTGAAGAACAATTACTCTGCACTCTAGTAGTAACAGCAGGAGCTTGTTTACTAGGTCACCCTAAGAGTCATAGAAGGGCTAGAGTCACTAGTTTTGTAATGGTGGTTGAAAACAGACAAAAGACATGTTTTTGTCTTTTGTCTGTTTTCAAATGTTTGAAAGGTATATAAAACTTTGTTCATGATTAACAAATAACTTCTAGAACCAGACACTTTACCTAAATGTCATCTAACAACTTCATGTGTTTAAACAGTGTTTTCAAAATGGTGATATTTGTACAATTCTTTTTCAAACATTTAGAAACTTTGTCATGATATTGATATATACAACTGAAATACTACTTATATATACAGAAATCTAACTGTCTATTTATTTACTTGATTAAACAAATATATAATGTTCAAAATTCATTAAAAGTTTTAATTCAAAACATTTTAATCACAAAATATTCATTAGATGAACCACACTTGTCTCATAAATTTAGAAATGCAAGGATGTGCAGATTATTTTACATATTTTGTTTAGTAATTTTGTGTTGAACACTTGCTATTCTTACTTCATTATGGGCAAATCTAAGCAGCTAACAAAGAAAAGAAAAAGTGATATTTGTGAACAAAAGTAATTGAGTAAATCAATAGATATTGATTTAAGATTTAAATAGATCAAAATCAGCTCTTTCAAAGTGTATGAAACGAATACACGAAGACAATAAAATAATAACAAACTCAACAAAACAAACAGGAAGTCCAAAAATAACAACCAAATATGATATTAATATATTGTGATCCTTGTGAAGTGATACATCCCCACTCTGTGAATCTTGTTAGGGACTTTACATCTTGTTTTATACAGCTAGGCTGAAATTCCTCATCATTTCTTCTAATAACACATGGTCCTTGATCTCCAAAATTAAGATTGGATTCATCACTCCAAATCACACTTTTTCAATCTTCATCACTACAAGTTAGATGAGCCTTTGCTGACTGAACTCTAAATCTCATTTAACAAAACAACAAAGAAGAGTTAATCTTTGAACTCTGGAATGGAATCCTAAATCTTGTAATCTATGTCAAGTAGTTGTTCTTGATATCTTTTTATAAATTTTTTAAATCCAATTTTCCATGATTTTAGCTGTTGACACAAATCTCTTCTCCAGTGCATTCCATTTTAATATGTTAATATCACATTTGGTTGTTATTTTTGGACTTCCTGTTTATTTTGTTGGGTTTGTTATGATTTCATTGTCTTCATGTATTCATTTCAAACACTTTGAAAGATCCGATTTTGATTTATTTAAATCTTTGGCAATATCTTCTAATAATTTACTCAATTACTTTTGTTCAGAAATCAGGGCTGTGGAGTCGGAGTCGTGGAGTTTTGATGTTTTAGCCGGAGTTGGAGTCAGATGGTAAGGAAAAGTCGGAGTCGGAGTCGGTAGATTTTTACGCGACTTCCACAGCCCTGGCAGGGCTGTTGAGTCGGAGTCGGAGTCGTGGAGTTTTGGTGTTTTAGCCAGAGTCGGAGTCGAAGTTGGAGTCGGTAGATTTTTACGCGACTCCACAGCCCTGTCAGAAATCTTACTTTTTTCTTCCTGTTAGCTGCTTAGATTTGCCCATAATGAAGTAAGAACCACAATAGCAAGTGTTCAACACAAAATTACTAAACAAAATATGTAAAATAATCTGCACATTCTTGCATTTCTAAATTTATGAGACAAGTGTGATTCATCTAATAAATATTTTGATTGAAATGTTTTGAAATAAAACATTTAATGAATTTTGAACATTATTTATTTGTTTAATCAAGTAAATAAATAGACAGTTAGAGTTCTGTATGTATAAATAATATTTCACTTGTATACCAATATCATATTTTCAATGACAAAGTTTTTACACTTTTGAGAAAGAGTTGTAATATTGAATCTTATTGTGCTGGTAATATCAACCCACGTTCCATATTATGTAAAATAGCTTACCAATTAGCAACATTACATAGCATCTGGATCTTTCATCTCTACAAAGACAAGCTTATAGAAAAATAGATTGTATATGTGACTTTTGCAGACAGATGAAAGAAAAATCAAAATTCTCTGTCAAATTTTTATTAATGTTGTTCTACAATATACTATGAAAACAAAGTACTGTACAGATCTAAGTTTACTGTAATAATTTTTTAATATATAAAATACTTATTCAACATTTTGTGAGTTTGTTTAAATTTCCTGAACAGCAAAAAAGAATGGAGTCCATATTTCCAGCACCTAGAAATTCATGTATTTTTTCAATTGTCATAGAGTATGGCACACTACAGTAAAACTCAGTCACATGTATAATGTTAAAGTGCCAACTTTGACCCTTAATATCGCCATGACCAATGAATCAATTTGGATAAAATTTATAATATTTAGTGTCCATGATGAGTACTATGAAAAATTTTGAATAAATTTGTTGGATCATTTTGGACATACATGATCAACATTTTGTTGCTTAGATTTATAATGAGAGAGAATAGCAACAGTAAGCTTCTGAACGATCTGAAAGGAGTCTGCATATGTTCAATAGCTCTTTCAAGAGCTGACCACCACCTGTTTTCCCTTTTGAAGACTTTATTTAAAAATATTAAGTATTTATAAAACAATAGCCCATTTTTAAATTCAACATATTAGTCAATTGTCTGTAATGTGACAATTGACTAATATGTTGCAATAAACTGCAGGCATATGACTGTCAGGTGAATGTAGAATTATCATCAAAACTATTCTATTATGAAGGAATTGATAACTGAAAAATACTTGAAATCCTGTAAAAAAAAAAAAAAAAAAAGACTGGTGGTACCAGCTTGAAAAGTAAAGCTCAGCAAAAACGTCTAAATAAAAGAAACTTTTGAAAGTTGTGGCATAAGAATACTGAAGCAGATTTCACAGTAAGACTCAACATATGAATAAAGTATACATTACAGACTACAACTGCAGGATGTTTTGAATGAAGCAATGTTACTATGATAATAAATTCAGAAAACAAGCATCTTCACAGAAAAAGGCTTCAAGCTTTTACTTTGTGTCTGAAAGTCATTGCACCTACAATAATATGGTTAAACATTACAGTACCTTTGAGCAATATTAGTGAAGGAACTTTAAGGCATAAAGCTCAAAGCCTTTTCTGTGACAATGCTCATTTTCCTGATTTATCATGGTGACATTGCTTTATCCAAAACTTACTGCAATTGTAGTCTGTGTAATGTGCACTTTATTCACTTGTTGAATCTTATTCTGAAATATGCTTCCAATATTCTTATGCCACAACTTTCAAAAGCTTTCTTTATTTAGACATTTTTGCTGAGCTTTACTTATCAAGCTGGTACCACCAGTTTTTTATATTTTATTTTTTAATGGTATTTTATATAAGTTTTCTTGTAAATGAAAAACTATGAATTCAAATTAGGAATAGGTAGCCAGTAAAATAAGAAAGCTAAATATGCCATAAATTAAAAAATTGCTCAAAACAAAGTGGGGTTCCCTATTACCACCTCCTCCTCTATTATAAAAATTACTAAGAACTGGTTTAGACCCTACAAAATGTTATGAAGCTCATTGCTTATCCACTAGATCAGCATTTACATTGTCAGTGATAACTTCATGGCACCTACAAGAGAAAGATGCTATTGCAGCTTACTGAGGCACAAACAGCACACTCAAATATCATGATGACCTTAATAATTTAGAAATATAACAAATAACAAAGGAATTTTTATATATTAAAGATAAGCATCTTTTATTGTAACTGTTCAATAAATTGTAAGCCAATTCTCCGTTTTTTCAAATCAACACTAATCACTTTAACTTTAATTTGGTTTCCTAATGAAAGTTTTTTCCCACCCATTTTAGACACATGCACAAGTCCACTTATTTCCAGTCCAATATCTACAAAGGCACCAAAATGAGTTACATTGATGACTTTTCCTGTTAAAACTTCTCCACAAGTAATATCATTGATGGACATAACTCCACTTTTGAACATTGGTTTATCATATCCTATATTACAAAAAATTTTAAATTATTAATATCTTATTAGTTTATGCAAGAATTTGAAACTGAATTCTCTTACCAGATCTAATATCATATTCCAAAAGTTGTGATAATGCATCAACAATCAATTGCATAGTAGGAGAACATACACTAAATTCGTTTGATAACTGTTCTATATCTAAAATTCTCATGGAATTAATTTCTGAATTAATTATCCACAGAATACAAAAATGAAATTATACTTACTTGTATTGTTCATTAGTTCTTTTATTTTCTCTATCAGTTTGGATTTTCCAATATCGGCTGCATTTGCATTTATTTTCTTTAAAAATCTAAGTTGAATATTTGTAAGTATAGTACACATTGGAAAATACATTATTTAATTTCTAAAAACTACCTCTCAGCAGTATCATAAGATTCTGGATGTATAACTGTCATATCAAGAGGATTTATTTCTATTGATAATTTCATTTTTTTTCTTGATTTTGTTGTTTTACTGGCTGATTTTCTCTTTCTTGTATCTGTTTCAATTTCTATTATTTCTCTAAAAAATAAAAGATATTCAATGTTATAAAGAAAAAATAAATATTAATCACATTAAGTATTTTTAATATAAAATTTAATGCAGTAAAATTTGCTTGTGCCAACAATAGAACTGACACCTAGCAGTATTAGCACAAACTACGTAATGGCGGCTGCTTGGGTATATAGTCTGTGATCTGTATAAAAAACTTGAGAATGATCTCTTTTATAGACCATTCTTGAGTTTTTATAAGAAAAAGTCACCCAATATCTATAGCTTGCTATGGAACGATAAAGACAATGTAAGAAAGGAATAGAAAGCTTGGGTATATAAAATACCATTTGAAAATCAACAGTTTGGAATTGAAAAAGATTATGTGGGTGTGACTTGAAGAAACCTAGCAGTACATCTGCAAGAGCATAGATACAACATTGACAAAGGACACAACAACATGATATTAGTGATTATGGCACAGACTGAAGGAGCGATTGTAAAATGAGAAAAGGCGAAAGTCATTAAAATAAAACGGTGCACTCTCCATCCATTGCGCTGGAGATGGAAAAGGTGGACATTTATAAAAGTAAAATGAAAAACCATTGCCTAAATGCTAGGGATGTTAATGCTTCCAACAGCATGGAAATATATAATAGAAAAAAGAATGGGGTTTAAAAAACCCTTAAATCATGTTTCTTTCTAATTAGCTTTGTTTTCTATGTTTTATTTATTTATTTATTTTATTTATTTAATATACACACTCCTTTCAATTTATTTTAAAGTTAAATTATTTTTTTGAATTTTAAATATGTAAAATATTCAAAAACGGTACGTTCCATTTTGGAACGTTTATAATATTAAACCTGACGATGGTCTATATTAGATAGGTTAAAAACGTTTGTAAAAATAAAAGAATTTTAAGNCTTCTTTCAATTTATTTTAAAGTTAAATTACTTTTTGAATTTTAAATAAGCAAAATATTCGAAAATATGTTCCATTTTGGAACATTTATAATATTAAACCTGACGATGGCCATATCAGATAGGTTGAAAACGTTTGTAAAAATAAAAGAATTATAAGCTCAGCAAAATTAGTTGTTAGTGAAACTGAAATTGAATTATTTGCTGAGAAAGAAGTGGATAGATATGAAGTTATCAGTTTTGGCATTTCCTCTCTTTCTATAAGACATCTTTTTCGATCACCCACATATTCTAAAATGTCACAAAGTGTAATCATCATGACTTAAACAACTACAAAATCAACTAGAATTAATGTCAGACACAAATGCAGATAAAATGTTTTGACTACAGAGAGAAAAGTTATTACAAAGACAACACAAAATTAAATGTATGAGAATCATTGTCTGAGAACATTTGTTTTCTTTAATGGTAATTCACACTTTGTTTTATTTTATATCACTATTAATATTATTCTGATAATTTTCAAGTTTTGATGATTTGGCTTTATAAATTTTGTCTATGACATAATTTGAAATTATTTAAGTTTCATAGAAACCAATGTAAAATTCAAAATTTATATTGTTGTTTATTTTATGAAAGATAGTATAAAAAACATTGTTTTTAATTTTCCTATTATATAAATATAGTAGAATTTAGTTATTGTAATTACAAATATTGTTATCAGTTATTTATTATTATTAGAATTGGCACATTTTAAAACATATAAGTTAGAAATTTTCTTATTGTTATCAGAGTTTAGTTATAGTAACAAAAAGTTTTCATTGGTGTTATCAACCTCAACATATAACTAACAATACACAATTATTGTCGTCTTAATCAGTGCTTTAAATGTTAATCATTAATTGCTTATAGTGAAATAATTTAAATTGTTGGCATTCAATTACAGCAATAATTTAAATTGTTGGCAAACACAGTACAGCAAAAAAGCAGCAGTCAAAACAAAGCTGGATTAATTACTATTAATTAATTAATANACTGACATTTTCTGCATGTGTCATTTGTGAGTGTTGTATCTTTGAGTATGTGTTTTCTGTAGTTTTTAGTGTTTATGACCTGATCCTGGCAATCATGAACCCTTCCGTCTCCCCAAAGAGGCATCCCCGATCTAACCTTATTATTATTATTATTGTAATAACAATCTACCATGTGTCATTTGTGAGTGTTGTATCTTTGAGTATGTATTTTCTGTAGTTTTTAGTGTTTATGACCTGATCCTGTATGGCAATCATGAACCCTTCCGTCTCCCCAAAGAGGCATCCCCGATCTAACCTTATTATTATTATTATTGTAATAACAATCTATTTTGTTTTTTTCCTCCAAAACTATCTTAATTAATTAATAATAACTATTGTTGGCAAACACAGTACAGCAAAAAAGCAGCAGTCAAAACAAAGCTGGATTAATTACTATTAATTAATTAATAATAACTACAATTAATAAATATATACATTGTGTAATTTTTAATTGCTTTAACATGTCCTTTTAATGTCATAATTAATAAAACCAGAATTTCCGTTACTTCTAGCCTTATTTATTTACTCCTGTTTATTGTTAACAGTATAGGTAATCTCAATGTGATTACAATTAGCAGACTCTACTGTAACTTAAATTTATTGCAACTATTCAATCAGGTTGACTGCTGACAAAATATTAGGACCATGTTCTTGCCAAAAATTTCTGTTCAATCCCAATTGATCTCTAATAATTTGGAAATGAATCAAGGCCTGCAGGACTCAGATTTGTTGCATTATATTATTATATTTCTAACATATTTGTCATATATGTTAGAAATGTAAAACTTAAATTATAATTAAATTATAAAATATATATATTAAAATGTAAGTTATATACACTCACATATCATTAGAATGGTCTATCATACAAGTCTCAGGTAATATTTTAACAAATCCAGCACACTGTTCAAATGATTTGGGGCCAAGGCCTCTAACACAGTTTAGTTGTAGCCGATTCTGAAACGGTCCATTTTCTGTCCTCCATTTGATGATATTTTTTGCTTTAGCAGGAGTTAATCCAGCAATTTTACTAAAGAAAAAAAGATAGAATCAGATGAATTATATTTCAAAAAAGTTTAAAAGAAATATTAATGTCATACCTTAAAATTTGTTCTGTACAAACATTTAAATCAATGCCAACAAAACTAGTACATTCAATGACAACTTCATTAAGTGCATTTTTCAACATTTTTTCTGGGATGTCATGCTACAACATAAATTAGTTTGTTGGATTATTAAATTCCAAATACATCTGCAATTAACTTGTAAAGCAAGATAACATATCACTTTATTAAAAATTTTTAATTTTATATGCAAGATTGTTCTCCACATTCTGCAACATACTGATTAGTCCTTAGGGCTACAATATTCTGTTTATTTTTAGGAAAAAGTATCTGGTGACATAGATCACTAAGCATTATCATCACCATTTTATTAAATATAATTGACAAGACTATGTCTTGTTTATAAAATTGCAGTGCTGTTACAGCTTCATGCCTCAGAGGTATGAAGGAGTACATGTCAAGAGTTGATAATTGGCACAGAATTTGGTGCCCAAATAATACGCACATAGAAAAAACCAGACTTGTAACACTGTGGCCATACATTCCAAACCAGGGAACCGAGAAATGAGTCAAAATAAAATACAAAATGGTGACATCTTTCTACAAACAGGTGAGTGTGTGAGATTTGTGCATGCGTTGCTCCTTGGAAATGCTAATGTTGCAAAATCGAATTTTGACAAACAAATCTGAAAAAAAACCCATTTACCTGTCCCATGTTATTCCCAACATATCTCTGGTCGTGACCTGCTGATCTTGACCAGTTGACTTGAGATATCTCATTTCAGCATTGAAACGTTTTTGAAACTAGACAGCACTAGTCGTTATAATTTTATATTAAAACTAACTTCTGAAATATAATTTTTTTAACACAAAACGACTACTAATCCTAACACTGCATTGAGTAACAACAATCCACAAAACCTTTTTATAACAGTGTTGTGTCCTATAACAATCTTCACGAACGTCTAGTCACCACCTGAAGTAGACCTCGGTGGAGGTCGAAAACGTTTGTGAAGATTGTTATAGGACACAACACTGTTATAAAAAGGTTTTGTGGATTGTTACAATTTTTTTTTGTTTTTACATTTATTAATATATTTATTTTGTTTGTGCAAAATAGAAAAATAATTTTGGACAATACAATAGTGATAATTATTCTTTTCAAAAATGGGAAATTTTCATTAGCCATCGACAAAAATTCAACCTGAGGTGACATGTAATGGAGAGAAATTTCAACATTGGATAGGTTAATTTCACTGAAAATGCATCATGGACTACATCGTGGTCATGGCCGGCGAAGTTTGAACAATTGCACTCAAAACTGATACCAAAGAAGATTGGAGAATGAGAATGAGACCCGCCGTGAGCATCAAAGTGATCCTGCTTAGTAGTGAGTCTCTGAGACATATTCTTGTTCCAAAGCCATAGTCTTGTTACTTGTTTACATCTTAATTGGACTACAATTTGAAAAAAAAATTGTAGTCCTATAAATCCCTATTGTCATCCATCTGTCTGTCTTTCCTTAAACTCAATAATGGAGTTAGATAGATGAATGATGAGATCAGATATGGAAACGTTAGGAGCAGGAGGCCTCAATTAACTATATACAAACATCCAATACAAACTGGAAGTCATGTTATTTCAATTCAAAAATTTTCCCCCAAAAGGTGTCACATAGATGACCAGCACAATTCTATTGTTGAAGGAAAGTACGATGTTTAGAAGCAAGCCACTACTAATTTGAGGTGGAGAGCACAAATTTTAAATTAAATAAATTAAAAATATGAATAAAAATTGCAACCCAGCATTGTGATGATGGCACAATAAATAACTGCTCATTTACACTTAAAATTGTAGCTTTACCCACTCTTTAAGTAGTTTGATTATCTAAATACATTCATTGATAAAGAAGTTATGCACTAAGGGGAAGACATTGGAATTGAATAAAACTTTAATAGTCTGAATGTAATGACAACAGTAATAAGTGATTACAATATCATAGCAAACAATTTCCTGTGGAAAAAAACAGTATACTTCTCTTGCCCGAGTACATGTAGGTGAGATAATACAGTCATACATGGAGACATACAGGCACTATATGCTATCCTGTGACAGATATGCCTATATATATGCCAGATCCCTCACAGTTGTAGATTGCCAAAAGCAGCATACCATCTGGTCTCACAAATGCTCAACAGGCAACAAATCTGGAGACTAAGAAGGCCAAAACAGGATCTATCCAGGGAAACCCTAGTTCTGTGCTGCCAAGCATTATCTTGCTGGAAAATGGCTGCTTACAGTTCTACCAAGAAAAGTGACATGAGAGCAAATGATTCCCAAACTTACTACTAATACTACTAGAGGTGATCAACTGTCATGTGAGATGATTTCTCATACCAGTCCAACAAAGCAGACAGTATGCTATTTAACAGTAATGGCAAGATTGAAATGCTCATCAGTGGTTCTTCACATTGTAACACTGTGGCCATACATTCCCAAACATAACCAGGATTCATCAATAAAGACAATATGCTGCCAGTCTGTAATGGTTTCTGCTTCTCTGTAATGTCATCACTACAAACAAGGCCAATGAAAATGGCAGGATGCATTGTGGTTGTTATGCATGCAAAATAATGTGCCTGTGTTAGTTACCTGCCAATGGTCCAGGAAGAGAGAGGATTCTGTGATGAAGCTTCTACGTATCTCTAGATGGTGGACAAAGGTACTGTTGCAACTGATGCTTGTCTCATGAGCATCTCTTCTGGTGGTCTGTCATGGACATCCAGAACTAGCCTGCCATGTATGTTTCCTTATGTATTCAGTGCCCCAACACTTCCTCATAGTTAAGTCAGAACAGCTCAAATGACAGACATTTCAGAGAAACAACCATCCTGTTTTTTCTCTGATGTGACCTATTAGAAACTATCATTGTGTGTAAGCAAATGTTAGGCATGCTTGATATTTGCTTACACACAATTCCAAACAAGAAATACATAATTTTGAAAATTCTAAACACAATGAGTTATAGAATACTGAGGTAATAATTTTAAGGTACTTGGTCAGCATTGTTTGTTTGCATATAGCAACATGACACGTGGACAATCTGCGAAGGGAAATTGCCTCCTGGAAGGACTTTCTAAGGGAAACTGAAACACAAAGAAAACCTGGAAAACTTCATTGGTCAATTGCAGAGACAAAGTTTACATTAAACAATAATTAACAGCCAAATGACAGATATTGGCTTGCTGCACTGTGGTTTGAAATGCATTGCAAAGACAATGATCATCCATTTCTAAATGAACCTTGACAAAACAATGGCTATTACTCTTTTCACTATTAGTTTCCTCTTTTAGATATTCAATCAATCAGGTTATTTATTTGTGATGTCAAAAAAAAACTCCAATAAAGTCACCAGTTATCCTCTGAAAGCTTCCAGTAGCATAAAATCTTAAGGCTGTCAACAACTGTTGTTCATCATTTTATGACAAACCTTTTTAATTTAGACATTTAATTTTGTTGCCAATAAGATTTAAAATATAAATAAATCTACATTTAGAAAATCTATAATAAATTCGTATTCAAAATAAATTATAGTTCTAAAGGTTTAGTCTGATCTCATATTACTCTTTCCCTTTGTAATTGTTAAGATAAATAATTTTGTTGATTCATCTGGTTTACAACATTTTTATCAAATGAACAATATCCATTTTTATCTAAACTTTGTGACAAACAAATCAATGTGATAGCTTCCACTGAAATTAAAATACTGTCTAAATATGTTATTGAGTGAGTCTGGAAAGTAGGTCAAATAACTGACAGGTATCCCTTGCTTAATGCAGGATTTGATTAATATGAAAAATTAATTGTGCGTTAACCAATCCCTTTAAATACATTGCAGAGGTTTTAATTAATGCAGCTTTAGCAGCCATGTTTACTTAACATAAATATGTTTTCTCAGAAAATATGGTGTTGGTAAATTTTATATTTTTGTTCTGAGGGTGATTTCCAATATAGATATGTAGTTTAATTATGACAGTTGTGAATTTTAACACATTATTGCTAATGTGATATTGTATTCTTTGTTTAGAAGATAATTGTAAAACTTTACTTCACATTTTCTGTGTGTGAAATCAAATCAAAATATCTGCAGATAAAATAAGTATTTATTATTATGTATATTATATATGCTTTTAAGTTTCATAAAGAATATAATGCTATACAAACATTTAAAAAAATACTTGTAGTGTATGGGAAAGATGCTCCTAAACGTACAAATGTGGTTTGAAAATTTTGTTCAGGAAATTTTGAACTAAAGGATACAAAACATATGAGATGCCCAAAAGCTGTTGACAAAGAAATTTCAGGAAGAAATTGTTAAAAATCAGTGAGTAACAACTAGTGAACGTGAACAAATCTTAGTGTATCATTGACAATAATTGTGTTCCACATGCATTAAGTGAAAAAACCAAACTGGATTGAGTATAATTTTGACTGACGAAGCTCTAAGGTTTCATTTTTACTTTTTGAATTAGTTACTCATTTTTATCATAGAAAACTTTTCTTATGAATGACAAAATAAAAATAAAAATATTTGTTATTAACTGAAAATTTGTTCTAGGGGGTTGTGATTGTTTGGTCGAATACGAAGGTACAGTATTTTATTAATGTAATTTTGATATTTAATTAATTAATCCTTTGTGGCAGCATCAAGGGATTAATTAATCATGCTATTCAAGGAATACCTATATTTATTTTACAGCTTCAAATGTTAAATAAATAATAGGCTGAAAAAGAATCCTTACTTTATAAGATCAAAATCTAATTATTTTCTTTTTGAATTATTTTGCAATTCTATAGAAATAGAACTGCAAGATAATCTGATCTTAAGATACATGCCTTCAATATATTATGAGACTTACTTTTGAGCATTTCTGAATATCTTAAAGTCTTTCCTGAAATAACTTTTTGTTTATGACAACTCTTACTTGTTACATATTAAAAGTTTATATCGTTGTAATCACAGCTAATTTTGCATAAATTGTCACTTTAATTTTTGATAGCCTTTAATGCAGTTTATGTAACTTTCTATTATGAAATTCTCTATCACATAGTGTAAGACATTTCCAATTATTAAAACATTTAATTTAAATAATAATACTGAACTGACCTTAGTTGGGAATTGGTCATATGTGGCTAGTCAGCCAGGCAATGCTGGCTCATGACTTTGCCAATTTTTTGTGTTATTTTTCACAAGTCTTCTCTCTGTTTAATTTAAATCTGGTATATTCTTACCTGATACATTCCAATACCAAGATGTTTTGGTTCAACTTTGATGTACTCCAATAAAGGATCTTGAAGTCGACGTGCAATTGACACTAATATTTGAAATATATTAATTTAATAATAAAAATTAATTTAAACTCTAGTATCACAAAATTTATTTTAGGTAGTTATTTTAATTTTAAAATATTTATTGATTAAGTTAATTATTTATTTATTTCTTAATTTTTATTCTATAATTTTTGTATAAAGTACTTTTAAATTAATAACTAGAAGGATTATATTAAAGAAGTAAAATTTTGAAGTTATTTAGAGATTCATGTTTCATGTGTATTGTGAAAATAAAGCATTGAAATTTTTTAAGATGACAATAGCTATCCTTATATAGATAAATATTCATGATACAGGAGTCATTCTAAAAGAAAAGAATGTTTTGATCTGATGAGCCGTGCAGTTCTCCTACCATCCTCCACCACCACATCATGGACCTTCCCATTTTTTTGTGCCAGTCTAATGTTAACAGATAGCCGCAATGATTGTTTAGTGTTTATAGTGTAACTTTGAAATGTCTGACAAAATTATAACTTAATCCTGCCAAGAATGAGGTTTGTAGTATAATACGCTTTTTGAATGCGAAAAAAGTCCGCCCTATTGAAATTTACAGACAGATAACCAAGGTTTACGGTAATGTGATGAATAAAGCTTCAGTTTGAAAATGGTGCATCATGTTTAATGGTGGATGAACGAATATTCACGATAAAGAATGCTCAGGCCTACTTTCAGTTGTGACTGACTAACTCAAATCAAGGATCAAGGAAAAAATTCAACAGGATCACTATAGATGGACTCAGTTCATTCTTTCCTGAAATTTCAAGAACAGTTCTTTATGACATTGTTAGTGGTGTTTGGGCTACAGAAAAGTGTGCGCCAGGTGGGTTCCTCAACTTTTGATGGATGAACACAAACAAAATTGGATGGGAGCTGCACTGACTTTTCTCAGTCAGTACACAAGGATGACAAGGAGTTTTTGAACCACATTGTTATTGGTGATGAGACCTGGATTTTGCATAAAACTCCAGAAACAAAGTGCTAGTCAATGGAATGGCATCATTCCAGATCCCCAACAAGACCAAAAAAAGCCAAACAAATTCTGAGCAACAAAAAGGTTATGTCTACAGTGTTTTGGAATCAAAAAGGCATCCTACTTGTCAATTACATGCCTAGAGGGGAGACCATAAATGCAGTGGCCTCTTGTCAGACCCTTCAATGATTACGCCACACCATTCAAAACAAATGGTGGGGATTGTTGTCCAGAGGAATTGTGCTTCTTCAGGATAACACACGTTCGCATGCTGCTGCGTTAATGAAGAATTTGCTTCAGCAGTTTAAGTGGGAAGTTTTTGAACATATTCCTTATAGCCCAGACTTGGCTCCAATTGATTACCATCTTTTCCCAAAATTGAAGGATTTTTGGCTGAGAATCACTATGGAAGTGATAACAAACTGAAAGAAGCTGTTAATGACTGATTCAAGAACTTGGCAGTAACTGAGTGTGCAGAAGGCATAAAAAAGCTGGTGATACACTATGACAAATGTTTAAATTTGTATGGCAACTATAGAAAAATAGCTAATATATCATATGTGTTGTAAAGTAAGTTTTGTTTCATTATCTTAAATAAAAATATCTAGAGAAACAAATGTTCTTCACTTTTAGAATGACCTTCATACAATTTCTACCCTGTGTGATATGTGAATGGAAAGTTATATGTTACATTTCTGCTTTTAATTTGTTATCTGACTAGCATGATCATCATTGAGAGAGACTTCTATTGAAATTCTTTATTGACATGAAAATTTAGACAGAAAATTTTTCAGTCTGTAAAGTGCTGTAAACTTGCTCTACTTGATTTCATGTTTGATTTTGACAGAAACTTCAAAAAATATGCTTTCTGTTTTAATTTGCATTTATGATGTATTTTACATATGTGTGTTCCTGGTTTAATTCCATTTCAGTTGAAAAAAGTGTAAAGACTGATCTGCTTTCCTAATTACAGAAATATTTTTAAAAACGTACTACAGTAAAACCTTGATTTAATGGACTAATTCAGATCAGTTTACAACTTGCTTCGCAACGGGAAAGATGCAATTGACTTAAAATATGCACCGGGGGTATATGCTATCCCCTTTGGGATGATAGATTTAACAGCAGTTTGGTTTATGTGGGCTCAACCAAACGCTCCCTTCACAAAATGCTGTGTGAGCACAAGCATGACACCGNGGACATTTGAAATTTGCCAACTAGGACGGTCGGTTAATCGGGGGTCGGATAATCGAGGCTCTACTGTACATCACATTACATAACAGTAAGCAAACTTATAAAAATATTAAATATGTGTAAGTAATATATACCATGTTTATAATAAGAAAATGTATATGGAAATATAAATTATCTATTAGTATTTGTTGGATAATTATTATTCAAAAATTTTATGCTTAAATATTTAATATTCTATAAATATCTTGTTCTAATTTATCTCATCTTCTAACTTCAAATTGTCATTGTATCATTATCAAGTTGTCTGTGAAATAATAAAAGAAATATTACTTTTCTTTATTATTTTATTATTTACTTTTGTAATTTATTTTCCATTTTTAAAAATTCATTTTTCAAAATTTTATGCTTATACTTTTTGGTGATAAGGATGCCTTCCCAAAATAGAATCCAAATATATAAACTAACAATAAAGCAGTAGTAATACATAAACAGTAGAATTGTGAAAACAGTATGTTTTATAATGTTTGTAATTTGTCTTGAAGCTTCTTATCAGAGAATAAATAAGAAGTTACATTGATGTAATTACATTATTTTAAATTATAGAAATAAACTAATTTTTTCTATGATATTAATAATGCAAGTTCTTTTTTTAGTATTATTACAATTAAGAATTATGATTTATAACAGGTATAATTTAGAATATTGTTGTGAATGTAAAATTTCTTTAAAATTGAGTGTAAATGTGAAAGTAAATACAGTAAAATATGTGTAAACCAGAGTTATTTTTTCTGTTTTTGCAGGTTTCCATTTTGAACAAGAATTTAGTATTTTATTCCTTGTTTTTTATCTTTATATTGCACCAGACAATTACGTTCACTTTTTATAGTAGAGTCACTTTTACATATATATAAAACAATTTTATTACTAGGCTTAATTCAAAGTGATAACTAAAGGTAGGCATATTTGAATGCAAGAATTGAGAACTATTTGATCTTAAAAAGTTTTTGTTGTTCCAGAGAACTTGTGTTAAGTATTCAAATACAGATATTTCTCGTATAACATAGTACTTTTACAACATGGTTTGAAAGTTGGGGATATTCCCATCACACAACATGACTTCTGGTTTTGTTCTAACATGGTTTGGGAAATCTTCAGTACAAATTTTCACAATTTTTAAGTGTAAACTCTGTTATTTGATTTTTTTTATTCAAGCAAGCATGCATGTTGTCTCAAACTTGCCTGTGGGATTTAGAATATGAAATTATGAAATTAATGAATTATGAAATGAATGAAAATAATGAAATTATGAAATTAAATATGGTAATTTACTTAAAAATAAAAGATAGAAATTAAAATAATTTTCTTATTAAAGCAATTAAAGTATTATTGACTTTACCATGATAGTAATCTCTCCGTAGCGAGGCGCTACGGATGGCGGGAAAGTAGTTCGGCTCTTATAATTATGTTTTACGTAATTATAGGAGTTTTTTATGGGTTTTTATGGATACCGTTGCAATTTTTTCGCAGTTTTATAGGAATCGTAATTATAGGGACCGTAATTATAGGGGGGTCTAGTGTACTTATCACAGCTAAATGAGAAATTATTTTCTAACAATTGACATGTTAAAAATTAAAGAAAATGTTTATTAATTCACCTGCACTTCGAACATTTGGATCCATTCCCGGTAGTTCTGCAGCAGCTTCTTTTGTAACACTATAAATTGAAACTCCATGTTCATTCACTATACTGAAAAATGCACAAAAATTTGCAAATAAATTAAATTCATTTTTATAGAATAATTCATACATAAAAAATATGATGATAAAAAATTATAAGATTAAATCGTAGCATTTAAACTAAACTCAAATTGCTTTAAGTAATTTTTAAAATCATGAAATTAATAATAAATATTTTCTAAACATTGTTCAAAATAATTTAGATATGTTTATATAATATTCATTAATATTTAAGATGTATAAAACTACCTTTTGGTTATTGTCATACTGTTTTTTTCTGGCTGGTAAGCAAATTTTATCTTGATATGCCACAATGCCATAGCATTTAAACTTTTAAGTCTCAAGTGTTTGTAACTATTGAAAGTTTTTGAGTTATCAGAATTTTGTGAATGTGTTTGATGTTTTCTGTACTCCTAAAGAAAGCATGTGAAGTCATTTGTATAAAACTATTTTTATAATCTTTCTATTAATCAACTGAAATAAAATTTATTGCTAATTAGAAAGTGACCTAAATAAGATACACTCCTATAGAAAGTTTGAGGTTCACAGAATGCTTAGAACAAAATTCCATTCTTCTCTACATGCAGCAATCTTTGTACAGTGAGAAAAGGCATAATTAATAATAAAATATTGATATATAATAGGGGTGGAAACCTTGTCACAACAGGCGTTACATATCACTTATAACAAATGTGTGAAAGCCACATCCCTAGGGCTATTGAAACAATATTTTATATTATTTATAGTTAAAATACTATAGTTATCACTGTTACTGGTTCTTTATGACTGGCTAAGTAAATATTTGTTTTAATTCCTTTGACTTTATGAATGTATCCCTGTTCAAGTTTAAGTTACTCTTAAAATCTATATACAGTAGAGCCTCGATTATCCGACTCAATTGGGGACTGGGGTTGGTCGGATAATTGAAAAGTCGGATAACCGAAAAGTATGAAAAAATCCATTATTAGTGTAGTATATTATTATATCCCATGTAATTAGTATATCACTATTAATCTACTTTGCATTGAATTTTCATCAATGTTAAGCCTAACAAAAATTTTTTAAAATAATAATCGTCGCTATTGTATCATTAAAAATTAGAAAATTAAGCCTCGTTTAAATACTGGCTCCCTTTCATGGTCAAATGAGTGTTGCCAGCTAAAACACGTAAAAATAATATTAAAGTAGCCAAGACATAGCCAAATATTGTAGCGCTACATCACTAGCGGACATTTGAAATTTGCCAACTAGGACGGTCGGTTAATCGGGGGTCGGATAATCGAGGCTCTACTGTACATCACATTACATAACAGTAAGCAAACTTATAAAAATATTAAATATGTGTAAGTAATATATACCATGTTTATAATAAGAAAATGTATATGGAAATATAAATTATCTATTAGTATTTGTTGGATAATTATTATTCAAAAATTTTATGCTTAAATATTTAATATTCTATAAATATCTTGTTCTAATTTATCTCATCTTCTAACTTCAAATTGTCATTGTATCATTATCAAGTTGTCTGTGAAATAATAAAAGAAATATTACTTTTCTTTATTATTTTATTATTTACTTTTGTAATTTATTTTCCATTTTTAAAAATTCATTTTTCAAAATTTTATGCTTATACTTTTTGGTGATAAGGATGCCTTCCCAAAATAGAATCCAAATATATAAACTAACAATAAAGCAGTAGTAATACATAAACAGTAGAATTGTGAAAACAGTATGTTTTATAATGTTTGTAATTTGTCTTGAAGCTTCTTATCAGAGAATAAATAAGAAGTTACATTGATGTAATTACATTATTTTAAATTATAGAAATAAACTAATTTTTTCTATGATATTAATAATGCAAGTTCTTTTTTTAGTATTATTACAATTAAGAATTATGATTTATAACAGGTATAATTTAGAATATTGTTGTGAATGTAAAATTTCTTTAAAATTGAGTGTAAATGTGAAAGTAAATACAGTAAAATATGTGTAAACCAGAGTTATTTTTTCTGTTTTTGCAGGTTTCCATTTTGAACAAGAATTTAGTATTTTATTCCTTGTTTTTTATCTTTATATTGCACCAGACAATTACGTTCACTTTTTATAGTAGAGTCACTTTTACATATATATAAAACAATTTTATTACTAGGCTTAATTCAAAGTGATAACTAAAGGTAGGCATATTTGAATGCAAGAATTGAGAACTATTTGATCTTAAAAAGTTTTTGTTGTTCCAGAGAACTTGTGTTAAGTATTCAAATACAGATATTTCTCGTATAACATAGTACTTTTACAACATGGTTTGAAAGTTGGGGATATTCCCATCACACAACATGACTTCTGGTTTTGTTCTAACATGGTTTGGGAAATCTTCAGTACAAATTTTCACAATTTTTAAGTGTAAACTCTGTTATTTGATTTTTTTTATTCAAGCAAGCATGCATGTTGTCTCAAACTTGCCTGTGGGATTTAGAATATGAAATTATGAAATTAATGAATTATGAAATGAATGAAAATAATGAAATTATGAAATTAAATATGGTAATTTACTTAAAAATAAAAGATAGAAATTAAAATAATTTTCTTATTAAAGCAATTAAAGTATTATTGACTTTACCTAGAAGAAAACTATTTAAATTATTACCAGTATTTTATCTGAAGTGGATGAAAAGCATTTTTTGATATAAGACCAGACAAAAAATTTTCCGTATCTCTGCAAGCAGTACCATTTCCAATAGCAAGAATTTCACAACTGTAAAATTATTTATAATTCATTATAATGCAGCTTCTAATTTTTAAAATAAATAATAAAAGTTAAAGCAATACTTATGATTCAAATTAAATACTATAAATTCTTTTTATAACTAATATACCCATGTTTTTCAATCAGTTGTTTAAGAATATTTCTTGCAACATTGGACTTATTTGCATCAAAAGGATAAATGACACTTGTTTCCAATACAGTTCCTGTAAAGAAAAATTGAAATAATGTACATTATTTATGTGTTTACAAACCATAAAGTAATTACAGTAGAGCATCGATTATCCAAATACCGATCAACTAAAACATTGGTTAACCAAAAGTGTTCCAATTGGCAAATTCAAATTTTCACTAGTGCTGTGGTGTTGCAGCACAGAGAGTGCTCCCTGCCAACCTGAACTATAGGCCTACTTTAATGTACTTTATGTAAGGTATGAATTTGTAAGATGTATGATTCAAAATATATACAGTACAGTTTTGTGTTTAATATATTTTTTTTGTAAATGATCAGTTATCTGAACAACTCCAGTTCCAAATTGTTTTGGATAATCAATGCTCTACTGTATTTAAAGAGATTCTTAAAGTTGTTATTGATAACTATTTGAATATTTCACAAAATCCTAATATTCTATTTGGATAAAAGAGAGGTTATGGCCAATGTTTTCATCATGAAAACGTGAACGTTGGATGTCGAGCGCTGCCATCTGGCAAGTCTAGAAGGTTGACAATGGTGTTTGCTACGTCTAGCACAATGAACAGAAGTTCAGCTTAAACTTCTTCATTTTTTTTTTGTGTTTGGGATGGGTTAAAATTATGATGTATTTTATTAAAATAATGATTAAGCATTTATGAATAATATTGTAAAGAAACAGACAATTTTAATCCTGAAATTATTTAAGTATTCAATTTTTTTGCAAGTGATGTAAAGTGCCTATAGAATTTACATATATTTGTGTTCATAATAGTTTATCATAATTCTGTAGTAGTAGTAGTTTGTTCTTTCACAGCATCTTTCACCATCAACAGTGTAATATGTTCATAAATTTTCTAAAAATAATTTCCCTAGCTGCTTTCAAATTTACATAAGCCACTACTTCCCTCAACAAAAGTATGTCGTAAGAACAGGTAAAACACATTGTCCTACTATTATATTATCGTATGGTAGGTGACGTAACACTAATTATTAAAGCCAAAAATAATTATTTAGTGTTATTAAACATGCTATAAATATTTTAAAATAGTTTAATTTGTTTATTTACCTTCACTAGTAATGTTCATTGTTGTTAAACGTTTCTGCCATTTTTCAACAATATCCCATGAGTCAGTGCATGATGTGAATGTGTGGCAGGTGTTTTACTTTGAGTTCAAATGTCAAATGTGTATTTCTGCTTGTCGCACAAGTTTAATGTTTGAACTTCAGCTGCAAACTCTCTAATATATACAGAGGGGGGGTGCAAAAGTAGGTATACAGTTGTTATTATGGGAAAAAAAACATACAGGGAGAAAATAGGAAGAAAAAATATTTATTTTTATGTACAAATTAAATTACAAATAAGGAATACAAATTAATAAAAGATAATAAAAATAATAATAATGAACACCGAACATGTGTATTTCTCAGATTCTCAACTTTATACTTACTTTTGCATCAACCTGTATATTAAATTTCTAATTATATTTCTTTTCTAGCAGAATTATTGTAGCTGAATGTTTATACCTTTATAGACAATATATTACTGTTTAAATACACAAGTGGTCATAAAATAAATTGACTAACTAATGGAATCTCAGAAAGCAAAGAATCCATCAAAATGTTTGCAGGATAAGTACAGGGTGACACGCATTTGCGATATATGAAAATAGGGGTAGATCATGTGTCATGGTTACATTACATTTGAATTATGGCTACATTAACCATAACTTGAAAATTTCCAATACAAATACCAGGAATTCACGACGTGACAAGATTCTGTGACAGACAATAGTATAAGGTGTTAAAATGGTGTGTGAAGAATGAAAACAACAGAGATATTGGTGTTTGAAACATGTAACAATAATACAGTGAAAGCAACAGAAAACAAGCAGAAAATGAAACAAAAGACAACTGTAAAGGTGAGGAAAAAAAGTTTAATTACAGACAAAAGCTTACAAATGTTCAATATTTATTTACTAAATCACTGTATAATATTTTACATATATGCCCAACATTGTTATCAAGGACACACTGCATATGGCCAATGACAGAGACAATAGCAGCACAACACACATCAGCTAGGAAGCTCTGTTATTCCATCATGATGCTTCCTTTAAGCCACTAAGTGTTTAGGAATTATTTTGGTAGATCCTGGACTTCAGATAACCCCATAGCCAGAAGTCCATTGATGTTAAATCAGGGGAGCATGGAGGCCAAGCAAATGATAGATGATGCAATCATTGAAATGATCTTGAAGCAGTTGTTTCACACTCCTGACCAAATGTTGTGGGGCATCATTCTGCATCCAAATGACATTCTTCAAAGCATTATGTGGCCATAACTCTGGGATCACATGCATGAACAGCATTGATGGATAGCTTGTGGCTGTGACAGTGCATGGTAATTTGTAGGTGAGGGTTTTTCAAAACATCATGGACTGAAGAGGAAATCAGCTGTCACTCCAATCCATACAGTCACTTTTACGTTGCGCAATGATGTCAGCAACAAGTCACGAGGATTGGTGTCAGACCAATAAACACAGTTTTTCATGTTTAGCTGCTCAATCAAGGTAAAATGTTTCTCATTGGTCCAGAGAATTCATGGATTTGGTTGGTTGGATTTAGGGTTTTGTGGCACAAGGGTCATTTGCAACATGTCTGGCACTTGTCCTGTCATCCTAAGTAATGGCCTGCCAAACCTCTATGACAACTGCAACATCCATTGGCAGCCACTTTGTTTTTGGTCACATGTGCAACCTCTGTTTTTGAACTTGCTGATTAAATTGTGAATAGCTTGTCTTGAACATGGACTCCTACGTACATTATAGATCTAATGAAATTGGTGTAATGCTCTCACAACATTGCTATTGTTCATGTAATACAGCTTCACAAGTTCATGCTGCTTCTGCAAGTCCCATTCTTCTGCATAACAAATGCAAAAACAGGAGAATGAATGTTTTGTCTGAATTCTGATTGACATATGCTTTTATGTCTTGCAACTTTTGTTACAGTAAGCTTCAGCTACAATGTTGCTGCCTCACTTGCAAATCTGTATGCAGGAATGTCAAAAGATGTTGTGGACTTGGGAGAAAAATTTACACTGTCCTTCTTCAGTTAATTAATTAGAATATAAGAACAAACTGTAGGATGATATCAGTGCCCTTGTGAGATCTAGACTTGGGGAATTTTACCCTATCATGCCCCTTCTTGTCAACCCTGCCTGTATGGGTCTTCTGCCATGGGTATTGGCTTGCCTGTTTTCCATTTTTTCAAACACTGATATATCTGTTGTTTTTTGCTTTACACCCACCATTTCAATGCCTTATGCCATTCATGTTTCATACAGAATCTCATGACATCATGAATTTCCAGTGTTTGCATTGAAAATTTTTGAGTTATAGTTATGTTAACCATAGGAAATAGGAAAACATGTTCTCCTATTTTCATGAACTGCAAGTGCACATATCACCCAGCACTTATCCTGTAAAAATTTTGATGGATTCTTTGCTTTCTGCACTCCCAATATTGCTGTTAGTCAGTCAAATAACTTTATTACCACTCTGTATTTAGGACTATAATGTTTAAGTGGAAAAAATCTCTGTCTCCTACATGTTATATTTATATTTAATAGAAAAGTTTATAAATTACAATCTTATATTGTTAATTTTCCTTTCCTTTGCAGACTGTAGTGACAAAGAGTTATGTCTACTCTATTACTTATGTTACTTACAGGATACATTGTGCAATGTTATAATAATTTATTTTGGGAATTAACTCTCTAAAGAAACTTTGATTCATTTATAAGAGAAATATGAAAACATAATTTAATACTTGTTCAATGATAAATTTTGGCCTTTTCTTAATAAAGTCTGCTTAAAATGTTAATATTTTTTAAAACAACTTATTTTAATTACTAAAATGTTCACTGAAATATTTTATTATTAGTTTTAAAATTTTATTAAGATTTTAAAAAGTTATGAATTCAATTAGCATAAGCAATATCCCAGTAATAATTTTAAACAAAGCAAAATGTTATAACTTTTTAAAATTTATCCTACCTTTAGAAGATACAACAGCCAATTTGCATCCATGCCGAAAACCAGGATCAATACCCATCACTACTTTACCTTTTACTGGTTGAGTTAGTAAAAGGTGTTTTAAATTTGTACAAAACACTAGAATTGATTCCTTTTCTGCTTTCTTTGTAAGATCAGATCTGTATTTAAATTAAAATTTTTTAATTTTATTTACAAAGAATAACACAGTAATAAAAAGAAATTACCTTGTCTGTCTGCAGATGTATGCTTCTATTAAACGTTTATATGAATCATCTATACAATTGCTAATCATTTGAAATGTTTCATTATCTCTTTTAGTTTTAAATAAAAACTTTCTTTTGATCATTTTTATAATTTCATTTTTAGCATAAGAGTTAACAGAAACTTTGACACTCAATATTTTAAGATGCTCTCCTCTATTCAGAGCTAAGACCTATAGTAAATATATCAGACATTTATTTAGTCAGTTGTTAATTATTCTCAGTTAGTTCTCAATTATAATTTTTATATATTATTATTATTATTTAAACTTCATTAAAAAACATTAAGAAAAACTTTTTAAAATTAATTATCTGTTTTTAGAACTAATTGAAAAAATTACAATGTTATAAGAAAAAGTCACACAGTTTCCATTTTCAAATAGAGAATTACCGACATAAATTATTTTCATAATTTTATAAACTATTTATTATTATTGTAGTAGTAAGTTATAGTTAGTTTATCTTAAAAATTATTCAAATTGTATTTTAGAAACTTATATACATATACTAAATTAAACGCCTAAATAAATTTTTCTCGTGAAAATTATATCCAAATATGAATAGTAATATTATTCTCATATAATAAAATTCATATAAAAATCAAACTTAAAAGTATTGTTTTTTTTCCAAAATAAAATAAAATGTAATATTTTTATTTAAAGAATATGTTTATTATATATATCTTTATGAGTCTTTTTTCTATTTGAAAGTGATATAAGTCCACTTTCAACAATTTATTTTTGGTATACTATGTTAGATGAATTAAGAAACCATTTGTAATACTGATTTATACACAAATAAGTGGTAATACTGTTTTTCAGTTGAGTGAATTTGTAAATTACATCTTGTTTTCTTCTCTCCCAATATTGAATAATAACTGGGGCAACAATTGTAAGTTTTGATCAAGAAATTCCATTATTGATGTTATATAAAAGTTCTAGACATAATACATCAGTTAAATATGATGACAATAAGTTTTGACTGAAGAGTTTATTGCTTTCTATGTATACATTCCTGTCCATCTTAAATATTTCAAGAAACTTATTCAGAAGCAAAATAAATAATAAAATACGAGCAAACATTACTAATATTTCCTATCTCTAAAATGATAATATATATTATGTCAATTAGTTTTTTCTTAAACTTTTTATGACAAAATTCTCAAAAATAGTTATCATAACTATTTATTAATACTTTACATATTTACATTAAATGAACAAATATCAGCATTTAAAATATATTATTATTTTCAAGTTTTAAAACTACATTTCAAAATATTCTACTTTAATTCAAATTCAAAATTAATTTAATATAAATCCATTTTCAGTTAATAAAAACATTATTTTACTTAGACAAAACTTATAAAAGTGATTGTATAATAAAATTGCATATGTCTAAGACTTAAAAAATAAAAAAGGCATATTAGCTTTTAACAATATTTTAAATACCTTAAAATACAAATCCTTAAATATCTCAAGACAAGAAAAAGTGGACTTATATTACTTTAAAAAAACCACTCATATATTATGTCATAATGGCTTGAATTATATTAAATAATATGATATTTTTACAATATATAATTTAATTTATATAACTATAACAGTTCAAATAAAACTTTATCTATTGATAATAATAATAAATTGTTTATAATCATTTATTTTTGAATACATATAATATCCAATTAAATTCAAAAACAGAGTAAATGAAACATAGGAAGAAAGAACTAATTCTACAATAATTCTAAGATGTTTAGTATTAATGTAATTTGTGTAAATAGAAAATAAGTAAAATTGATGTATAGGAACAATAATTTTAAATAAGAATTAACTATTGCAATTTATTTAAAATTATTCTTAACATCTAACATAAGAAGAGGTAAAATGATATTTAGCCAATATTTTCATTATCTAGTTTTTTTTTTAATCAATCAAAACAACTTGATGAAACAAAAATGCTTGTTAATTACTTACACACAAATTATATTCTATCATATAAAATTTTGTTATTAAGATTTATATTTGTCAAAAAATAATTATAATAGACTTTATCAAGCTTTAAAATAAAAATATTTTAAAGACCCAATGGAAAAATAAAAATATATTATTTTATTCTTTCATGCTATCATATTTAATTTAATTAAAAGAAGTTTGTTCTTGCAATTTCTACCAAATGCTAAAGCTAGGTTTGGTATTAACAATCAGAAATATTATTTGTTATACACTACATATATTATGTAATCAATATGTCATTTAATAACATTACATATATAGTACATTGTTGTTATATAACAATTAACTTACTGGAAATTTTCATTAATGTGCAAATAATTATTGTTAAAGTATTTGTTCCAAGTTGATCAATATTAATAGTTTGTGTCTATGTAAATGAAAAATAATTTTTTTGTGACTGACAAAATAAAAATTATCTTATTTTCCCTTACTACAATTGATTTGTATATTTAAATAACATGAACCTTATATATCTATACTCCTTTTAATAATCCTTTATCTTTAAAGACTTACACTAATTTATAAATTGTAGAAATTAATATTATACAAACTTGATGAGGTTTAATATTTTTGGCTGAACAAGTAAAATCAAAATAAATTTCAAATTTATAATTTTTTGTTTCTGTCCCTTCCACAAATGCTTTCTTATCATTTTTTTCAGCAGCTGCAGACTTTGTAGAATGTAAAGTAATAGTTGAAGGTTCACATCTATAAATAAAATTTTCATCTATTAGAATATAGCATTAATTATTATTTTATACTAAAATGAAGCTAAACACAAATTCATTAGCATGTGGCACAAGTTTTTAAAAGAGATTATTTTCTGATATATCTTCTGATCTTGAATAAATAAATTACAAACATTGGGAAATCAGCTCTTGTAATTTATTTATATTTTGCTTGTTTCTATGATATTAAAAATAAAACTGAAATAACAAATTCTAAATATATATTACACAAAATAGTATTAAATTAAGCAATTAAAGTATAGTCTGACCAACTCAGGAAGGCACTCCCCTTAGGCATTGGACTACTTTACTAATCATCTGTAGGGGTGAGATATAGAATGAGTCAGCTAGCATCTAGTCGGCATACCTTAGGGGTAATTAATTAATTAACTTGTTTCATGAGATTAGTGAGTATTTCAAAATTATTGTGAGCAAATATCCGATGCCTTGTTGGTTAATACCCCTATAATAAGTTTGAAAGCAGGTTACTCACCACTCTCACATTTCCATCACAATGATGTAAGAGGATGGAGACATAAGGGGGTAGCAGTGGCAGACACAGAGACATACACAAAGATTCTAAAATAGTTGCTTTTATTTTGATTGAAAATGTCTTATAAATTTGTACAGCTGGTCACTCAAAGTGGTTCTGGAGTCCAGATTCATAAATATCACATGCATTCAGCCATACATTAAGCTGATCATATGCTTATGTCATTGTTTCATTATCATCATTTGCTCACTGTCCATATTTGTACTGTATATATCACTTCTCTTCATCTGTTCAGACCATTTTCACTAATGTCATATTTTTTTAACAATGTCTCTCTGTAATTATGCATGTATGTATATCTGTTCATTTATGTAACACTGTACTTAACCTGATTATGCTCTGGCAGTATTGGAAGATAAATAAAGTAAATAAGTAAGTTAATGTTTACTTGTAAACTCCCCAGAGTGCTAGCCCATAACTACGGAAGGAGATGTTTTTCCACTTGAGAATCAGGTTATCTGTGACTGATCGATCCCACTTGATGTTTAAAGTGTTTTTCTTCCTTTGTGCATTTAAACTTGAAGTTGCTTGTTTACAAATTTTGACTTCATCAGCTTTCTTGATTTATTTTCCCACAATGGCACTGTCTCTCCTACTTTGAGTTTGGCACAAACAAATCATCTCTTACAACTCTGTTTTTCACAGAGAAAAAGCATGAAAACACACAAACAAGTGAGGGGGGTTTCAGACCTCACATTATACACATTTTGGGAAAAAATCATATGTTAAAATATAATTAATTCATGTATTCCCATCTTTTTCAAAAATAAAAGTTATCAAATAATTACAGAAAGAAGTTTAAAACAAAACATTTCCATATTAGCTAAGCAAACGAAGAAGCAACAAATGTCACCTGGCAAAATTCTTAGAACTTCTTAGAGCCAGTTAAACTTAAGCACTGTATTACTGACATGATAATAAAAATTAATTTCCAAGAGCTGTTATTTTTTTATAGACAATATAACAATAACTTTTAGATAAAAATTGGAAAGTTCTATGTTCAGTCTAACTTGATGTTTTTCTTTTTCTGCATTAACAGAACAAAAACTTGCTATAGTGGAAAATTTTGACCAGTTCAGTCACATTTTATTTTAGGTTTTATAGGATAGGTTTTACTATAAATTTTCTGCTTGGATTTCAGTTTATTTCTAAATCACCAAAAAGAAAACCATGATTGCATAATCCTACAGATGATTTATAAAGTAAAAGTTCTTTAATAAATACATACATTTTGCGAATAGTATCCAAAACATCTCTATCCTTGGCAATTATATCAGCAATAATATGCTGCCATCCAGTTTTTATTTCTTCTTTGTTTGTCAAACCTTTTTAATAAAATTTATAAATTAAAATTAATTAATTATTTTTGATACCTGATAAGTAATTTAAACAGGAATTACCTTTAATATCTGGATTCATAATATTTGGAATAAACATTGAACAACTGCCATCACCATTTAATAATTTTACCGCAGATTCCTCCAGTCCAAGTTTCCTAGCTCGCTCTGCAAGTGTTTTCTTTCCACCAGTTTTGAAAGGAGCACACTATTAAAAATTTATTTACTATTAAATTATCAATTTTCAAATATTTTAGATGTATTAAAAAATTACATATTAAAATGACTTACAATTAATTCAATTTCTGAAAGTGACTTTGCATTTAATAATGAAACAGCAATTGAAGGAGTAAGTTTATCTTCTTTGGCAAGTGAATGTAAGGCTAATTTTGATTTCTTCTGAACAAGTCTAGTAAATACATGAATAATAATATATAGTAAAAGTAAAATTTACAATAAAGATAAAATACTTTAAAAATTAAATGCAAAACCATAAACAAACTTATTCATTTTTAAGGAAGAACGACAAAGTAAAACAGTTCAACAAAGATTGGCATACTTATGGGGGGAGTGATGTGGGTGTTGGGTCTCCAGAGGCTTTAGGAATATATTAATGAATAATTCAATATCAATCAATTATTTCATTTATTATTATAATAAAAAAATGAATGCTCAATTATCAATTGCTTATGTTGCTTACATGCAAAATGACTGTGGATTGTTCTAGAAGAAAGATCATTGTTTGAATTTTTGAGTTTATTCTCAAAGTTTCCTTTTAGATGTACAGGAACATTCTAGAATATTTGTCTAGCCAGTATATAAGGGATGATCATTTGTCAGCAGTGAGTTAGTCTAATACTAAATAGAGATCCAAGCAATAAACAAGCAACAAGTGAAATTGTAATTCACTATTTGCATAAACTTGTATGTGAATTGTGAATTATGGATGATTAATTGATGTGATAGAGCCATTGATGTTCAAAATCATGTTCAATCAAAAACTGGCTGTGAAAAGGGACAAATGACAACTTCCCATATCAACTTTTTTTTTTTTATAAAAAAGCAAGAGACAAACATTGAAGAACAAATTGCTAATGCTTCTGATAAGCACACAGAGTCCACAAATACTTTGATACCGGTAGCATCCACAAATGCCAACAGAGAGTCCAAATCTAATGATTCCAGTTTGTTTATAAACCAAAACTGCTCTCAGAAATACTGATAATTCTAGAAAATATATGGATATTGTCTGAAGATTTTATCTTTCCAAGTACAGAGTACATACAATCTAAGTAGTGAATAGTAGTGAAAACAAAAAAAACCGATGCTATGTTTTCATCATCATTGGCTGAAGATTTTTTCTTGTTAGTATATTCAGCAAAAGAAAATGGAGCCTATTGCAGATATTGTATATTATTTGCTAGAAGCGGATCTGGGTGTTGATTCACAAAAACTTGGTATTATGGTGAAGGAAGGTTTCACAAACTGGAAGAAAGCAATAGAAACATTTACTTGTTATGCTTTCCTAAAATATTCATATGAATTGTGTTGCTAATACTGAGCATTTTAAACAAACATGGACAAGATCTGAACTGTCAATAGAAAAAACTCAGAGGGACAGCAACAAATATTAGAAAACAGAAGAAAAACTTTTTCCTATAATAGAAGCATTATTATTACATGGTTGGCAGAAATTGGTGCTTTGTGGTCATTGTGATTCTGATAATATATCTACATCAGAGAACCACAAAAGAACAAAGGAAACTTTTGTGCAGTGCTTTATTATAGAGCAAAAGATGATGTTGATCTATATGGTATTTTGGAGGGACTGGGTTATAAGTATCTCAGTCTTATTAGAAGCTTGCAATGTTATCTGTTGAGAAAAGTTGCTGACAATGTTAACAAGGCCAAGTGTTTTGCTGTACTGGTGGACAAAATTTAAGATATATCAGTATTGAGCAAGTTTTAATGTGTACCAGATATGTTAATACCAAAACAAAAACAATTTGCAAGGATTTCTGGAGTGATCATTAAAAGCATGACACTTACCAGTATACAGTTTAGAACATTTTAAACCTTAAAATGTTGTTTATGTTTTATTTCACTTAGCAGAGTTTATTGTACAGTAATTATAAAATATGTAAAATGGAAAAATATAATATTGAGATAAAACAGGTTAATGCATTTAATAATCAATTAATTTTCAACTTTGTCCATATAAAGCATGCTTTATCCAAGTCACAAGCATAACCTATAAAGCTAACATTATTCAAAAATAGAGCTTTCTAATCAAAACTATTGGACAAATACAACATCAAACAAATTTGGAATACATACTGTTCTCAGTATACTGTTTCAAACTTTGTAAAAAATCTTACTTAAAATCTCAGCTGCTAAGAATAAAATTTTGCACTGCTGTCTCCTTAATGTGTATATTATTACATTTTCTAATGAATTTAGGAAGTTAAGAAACAAAGTGCAATAATTTTATTACAAGTACAGATGTGGAATGTGGAACTGGCAATTAGAAGAGTTTAACAAGTAATGCATAATCAGGCAAAGTAAGCATCATGATTGTTCATATATTAAAGAATTGTTAAAATGTTTTGTGACTCTTTTTATATGCAAAATTAATTAAGAAATGTAGATAATAAGCATATTTAAATACAGAGTGAAAAATTTTTCCTAGTGGCTTAATTTTGAAGTAAAAATTTTTCCCAAAAACCAAATTTGCATTTTTGCCCTATACTATGATTTACAGAAACTGTGCTTAGATTTTAAATGATAAAGAGTTGTTTATAGTAATAAATACAATTGGGAAAAATAAAAAAAAAGATCCTCTGGCAAAACTTCTAATGTTTTTGCATTTTTCTGTGGCATTTCGTCTCATATAAGTTAGAGTCACAGTATGTTTCTACATATTCATGTGTGTATTTTAAGAACTTTTACGACACCTACTTTTGTGTTTGTTTTCAACTGTATTTGTTAATATAATGTAGTTTTAGACTTTACAAGTTTTTAAGAAGTTTATCACAGGTTTGAAAAATAACCAGAAAACTATTGCCATTTTGCCAATTGGCTTGAAATTTGATGATAAATTGCAAGACATGTTATACACTGTGTATACATTACCCTGTTCTCACTTTTCATGTAGTGAGTAAAAACAAAACTCTTATGGTTATAGAAAAAAAGGCAACATCTATATTCAGTTCTATCCAAACAACAATGAACAGATTTCATTTTATCTGGATAAAGCCCAAATTTTAAGTTTTAGTTCTTGCATCATCCATTCACTTTTGGATAATGTCAGTTTTAGCATGTTGTGATCAAATAAAGCATCCTTTATAAAATTCAAAATGAATAGACTGTTACTTGCTTTAACCAAAAGACTTGCATAAAGCTAACATTAATCAATTAATTCTAATTTTATCTGATTCATGGGTTTTACACATACATCCAATTTTAGTTATGTAAGTTATATACAATATTACTTTTTATTTAATAACAGAATATTTAAATATTTGTATTTCTGTAAAATAAAAAAAAAAATATAAAAAATAATATTGCATTTTATATATCTTACTTTACAGTTTCATAAGTTTCTTGAATTTCTCTTAGTTTTTCAACAGGTATATCTCCTGTTTGTTCTCGTCTATATCGAGCTATGAATGGAATAGTACATTCTTGATCCAAAAGTTTTATAACATTTCTTGCAATATTAGGACTCACCAAAACAGATTCTGAAATTAAGTTATCAACAGTCCAAGAACATTTACTGTCGCCAAGAGATGATCTCACTTTCTGAATTTACAATAAATAATAGTATTATTATTAAAATAAACTCTCTTATGAATATTATATGTATAGTAAAGTATACTTACCTTTGCTTCATCACTTGATTCTTCTATTATTATACAGTCATCATTATTATCATCATCATCATCATCTATAGTAATTGTTAGATTATCATTATTTTCCTGTAATAAAATTTTCAAGATATCAAAAAACAATATTTTATTTAATTTATTAAAAGCATCTTCTAAAACAAAAATAAACTAATTTTAAACAATATTTTTAAAATCTATATATTATATTATTTGTTTTTAATTTATATTAAAACATATATCATTTAATTTCAATTATTTCACAGAATATTAGATACCACAAAATAAAATTATGTGAATACTTTCAAATTTTTGATAATTTTATAAAAATTATTATTGGAAAAGAGAAATTCCCTAATAATAATAATAATATCTCAAAAATCTTCAGCTTATAAAAGTTATATTATATATCATCATAAATATTATAGAAATTTGCAATCTTGAATATTTATAGTAGAACATAGGTTTAATGAACACTTGTGACTGAAGACTGTTTAAGACAGCTATCCATTAACAAACTGTAGTATATTTTACCCCTGGAAGTTTTTCAAATAATCAATACACAATTTTCTTTTTTGTAGTGATGTGTAATAAGAACAAATTCAAAATATTTAAAAAATTGCTGAAATTATAGAACTATTCTTATGAGCTAATTAATTAACATAATTTCACACTAGAAGCATTAAGGTCTATACTTTGTGAGAAAGAAAAAAAGGAAGAGTGTGGCTATTTTCTTTTCTCTCTTCTTACAAAAGCCTCAAAAGAATGAAAGAGAAATGTACAAATAACAAATTACTTAAAATTTAATTATTAACAGTAGCTGAAAAATAGCCCGATGCATTACAGCAACTGTTTGACATAGAATGAAAGAGATGCATGTGCTTGTGACACTTTTCATTAAAATGCATTGAAGCTGCATTATTTAAACACATTTATTAAAGTCATATATCTTATCTGTATAAAACTTCTAGAAGGAGAATACATGCTTTTAATAAATTTGAGAAAAAAGAATGAACAATATTATATATAAATAAAACAAGTTCACACATTTAAAAATGTTTGCATCAGAGAAAGTTTTCATTAATGATTGTATGTAGTCATTACCAATGTAAAAGTGGTATATATATTTTAAAAGCTTATGGCTAAGAGATATATGTGTTATGACATAATGGAGAGAAAATGACTGCAAAGTGGAAAAATAAGGAAAAGTGAATTTTAATTGAGAATGCAGCTTATCAGTATGAATAAACCTTAACAAAATTAATTATTATTTTTATATAAGGGAATGATATTATTATTCAGTATTTCAATGGTAAATATAAAGTATATAAATGATTAGGAAAGAAACAAGAAAGTAGAATAATGCTGAGAATAAATTGAAAAATTAAAAGTAAATAGAAGAAAGCAATGGTAATAAAAAAATAAAAATTACAATGCAGCAGCACATCTGGCACAAATTTTCATTTTCAATTGGGGTAGCCATCATCATGTTACAACTAATACAATTCCCAGTCAGAATTTTATCTCCCATATCCTGAGTTTGTAATTGATTGACCATAATGAGAATTTTTTATTACATGTTTTTTGTATGTAAATATAAAAGTTTAAACTCTACACCACTAGGATTGCCAGCTGTTCAGAATTTTAGTTCCAGACAATTTTTTGAAAAATTGTTGGAAAATGAAAACTGTTCAGAAATGTTCTGAAAAATGAGCAAGGAGTTCTATTTTTTCCCCCTTTTCTTTTTTTAGGATTGTCCATTTTTCCTCATTAGAAGTTGGCATCCCTAATTGTAATTCAAATTATTTTCATTCCTTCTAGTTTATGTTTCTTTTTTGGATCTGTCTCATTCTGCTCTGTGGCTACTAAAAACACTTTTTCAAGCCCATCACAGGCTTAGCTAGGTCCACAATGGACTTGAAAAAAGCTTCCTTAGTTTGGGGCAAGGTGGTAAGGAATGAGTGCCCGATATATTTGAAATGGACTGCACTTGAAAAATTCCTAGGGTTGTTTACCCAGATTGATTCTTGGTCCCCCAAAGCTAAGGCTGACATCTTAATCACGTCAGTCATCTAGCTGTCTCCTCTTCCTCCTCCTCATCATCATTATCATCATGAGAAAGAAAAAATGCTCCTGAGTTTGATTGCTGGTTTTCTTTTGCTCACTTTATCAAGTTGGTTTGTTTTCACACTATGGAATTTGTTACTCTGAAAGTTGGCAACTCTACATACCATTGAAAATTTCAGTCCAGGTATCATTTATGTACTCAACTTGGTCAATTATCCTAGCAATTAGCAATTATCTTATGACCCTCCACCAATCTCAGTGCCCTCTTGGCAATACTATTTGTGCCATATGTGACCAAGGTAGAAGTAGTATCATTGAGAGAATACTACAGTGTCATTTACTATGAAAATGCTGTATTCAAACTCTGAATTGTTCAATGTCCGAATCAGTTTTTCCTATTAGAAATAATAGAAATGAATTATTCCATTTCCAGACTCTATACAATACCCATTTCAATAAACTTAGAACTAAAAATACACACACATAATTTAAGGTAAAAACAATTAAACGTTCTAATAATAAATTAAAACATGAAAATAATAAATATAATATATAAACACTGTATAATGAAATAAAGATTACATTTACTGGTCTGTCAACTTTGGCATCTTAAACATGGCCATCAGATTTGCTATATGTGTACTGCTTTTCTGCTTTGCAATAAGTTTCTTTTACATCTCAATCATCAATATTACAATCCTCTTAGACATTGTTACTTCCTTACACTTGTCAGATGCCATGGTTAATAACTAAGGTATTTTGCATATATTGGGTTGAACAAAAAGTGTGTGTGTATTTTTAAAAGCTGTTCTTACTTAACACAGATGTGCGATTTAATTGAAACAATTGCAAAATCTAACAAATTATAGCTAATGTGTGATTGTATTCATTGTTTAATTAAAATAAGCTTCTAGCTTATTTTAAACTTTTTACCTCACATTTTGTTTGACTAAAATCAAATTAAAATGTCTTCAGATGTGAAGTGTATCAGGCATGTTATGCTTTATGAGTTTTGGAAAGGATATAATGCCATACAAACAGTAAAAGAGAAATTCATAATGTGTATGTGAAAGATGCTTCTGAACTTCAAATGTGTCAAATATGGTTTAAAAAGTTCCATCCACTCAGGAGATTTTAAACTAAAGAATACCAAAAATACAGGGTGCCCAAAAGCTATCAATAAAGAAAAATTGCAAGAAAAAATTGTTAAAAATCAATGAATAACACACAATATTAAAAAAATCAAATAAGAACACTCCAAAAATAAATGAAAAAATATCAATATGTAACTGTTCAAACACCGTTATTCTCTAAGAATTATCACATCCACAAATTCCAAAAACACTAGCCAATCTGTGAATGTGATAATTTCTAGAGAATAATGGTGTTTGAACAGATTAAATATTGATATTTGAAACATGAAATAGAAGCAGAAAGTTAAATTATAAAGCAAGAAAAGTACTGAAAACATCAGTGAAATGTGAGAATGAGAGACAACTTGGATGCTGTTATGTTTATGTTTAGAGTGCATTTTTTGATTGCACATGTAGTTTGAACTTTGAAGCATCGTTTAAACTAAAGCAAATTTTTGTTGAATTTAGTGTTCAAACTCTAAAGCATTCAAAGTATAAAGTACCACTGTATTTCTTTCTTAATTTCTTTCTACTTAAAAATGTTCACTAAAATTACATATGTTTGCACCTTAAAAAATAATATCATTAGCTATAGTAAAACATTTTTTTATCAGGGTACAAGGGAAATCAGAATGAGCAGTCAATATATTTCTTGCCAGTGCTTTAACTGGGATAGGTAATTGAAAGATTTGCCTATCCCAGTTAAAGCACTTTTATAAGTGAAACAGTGCTTCATTTATAAGAGCATGCACTTATAAATTATGTACCAACTTGTTTTGGCACTGCACTGCTGTGTCCATACAAATATAAAATCAGTGGCATGTGGTGACATATGATGATAGGGAAGCTGCATTTCTGTAAAAATTTTAAACAAATACTGGAAATAACAAAAATAAGTTTATTTATTTTAATTCTAAAATAGATAATTGACACGAAACAAAAATATAAAAACTTGTTTTTATTATTTTTTATAAACTAACTCTATTCAGCAATTTTTTCTGCAAAGTTGTTAATTACTTTATCATAAAAATTGCTTGTTGATTCCATTTAAAAGCTCTTTTTCTATTGAAAGCAATGCTAGTCATGACAATCTTTCCTCTGACTAAATGTTCCTTGCAAATGTATAAATTTGCTTCATAATTGAAAAACTGAACTCGTAGATGGTACCGTAAATATAGTCCGGACATGAATATAAATATTGCAATTCACTATGTAATTTAGATAAATCAAAAAATCCATAAAATTTACATAAATTTAAAGAATTAAAACTCACTTTGAAAAAGTGTTTTTCATAATATTTAAAATTATTAACATCTAAAAGTGATAAAAATTCTAAAGATTTTATGTCTGAAAACCGGTCAATATAATTACAATTAAATACACCTTTGTAAAGAAACATACATAAAAATAACATAAAATATTCTTTACTTTTTAAATCTTAAAACAATGCACTTAGTCAAATAGTTGCCTACGAATGGCTAATGGATGGAATCATTGGAAGCATTATACAATATTTTGGTGTGTAGCATCCATGAGTGTAAAGAAACATACATAAAAATAACATAAAATATTCTTTACTTTTTAAATCTTAAAACAATGCACTTAGTCAAATAGTTGCCTACGAATGGCTAATGGATGGAATCATTGGAAGCATTATACAATATTTTGGTGTGTAGCATCCATGAGCTAAACTGTGAGAGATTGGTGCTCTGTAAAGTGCATGTGCAAATGCTTGTAATCTGGCTGCTTTACACGATTCAAATATTTTTGCTGTGGAAGCTGTCCCGTATTCAGCTATAGTTTCAATTGAACACGAAATCTTAGACCATACAAATTATATTCGAATGTACAATAGCAATCTTATCATTGTTTTTCACATGTATAAAAATTTGT